TCAGGAGTGCAGAGGTAGCGGATTTCTTGAGCTCTGAGTTCGAGGCCAGCCTGGTCTACAGAGCCAGTTCCAGGGCAGGTAGAGCTACACAGAGAAACCCTGCCTCAAAAAACAAAAATGAAACCCAAAAAAACAAGGGACTGGAGAGATGGTTCAGAGGTTAAGAGCACTGACTGCTCTTCCAAAGGTCCTGAGTTCAATTCCCAGTGATCACGTGGTGGCTCACAACCATCTGTAATGAGATCTGGTCCCCTCTTCTGGCTTATACATGCAGGCAGAACACTGCATGCATAATAAGTAAGTAAGTAAATAAGTAAATAAATAAATAAATGGAAGTGTGAATGAGAGAGACTATGGAAGCCTGTGGGGTGGAGGGAACGGGCCAGTGCACCACGGTAAACACAGCCAGAGGGTGGTCCAGAGAGTTCAGGTAAGGTTTGGAAAAAGAAAACATGAACTTCAAAGATGATGTTGGGAGCTTTTGACAAAAACTTAAGGAGGTTTGCTTGCTTGTTTTGAGACAAGATCTCACCATGTCTTTCTCTGGCTGGCTCAGAATTTACTGTGTAGACCAGGCTGGCCTCAAACTCGGGGATCCACCTGAGTCTTGAGTGCTGGGGTTTCTACCATCGTGCCCTGTCAGACTCTAGTCTCGTGAGAAAATACTTAAATGTGGAATGCTCGTGGTTGTGCTCACAGGATCTGATGGAAAGAAGGTAGCACTGGTAGTCTGGGAGCAAGGAGATGCATTTGTCAGAGTAGAGCCTTCCCCGCTTCTCCAGCACTCACTAATCCAGTGTTATCTGTTGGGGCCTCTTTTCTAGGGAGTGAGATGAGCCACACAGGGAGAGATAGCACGAGGGCCTGCCAGCTCACTTCGGATCAGGAAAGCCTCTTCCTGTGCGAAGTTCCAGTTCCTTTTCAACCTGTCCAGCTTCCACAGATCTTTGGTCTTCCTGAAACAGGCAGATCAGAGCCGAGGAAGACACCTTCGCTCCAGCTATAGGGAAAGAGGCAGCTGGGCAGCGGAGCTGGGATTTTGGTTTTTCTCTGACAGCCATAGTTTCTGGAACCCAGAAAGAGGGAAAAGTGGTTGTCCCGGAACTCAGAGACTAATTTGCTTCTGCTTTCCAAGTGCTGGTGTTAGAAACACCCTCTACCACGCCACGTCTGTGTGTGTGTGTGTGTGTGTGTGTGTGTGTGTGTATGTATTTAATTCTGTGTGTGAAGTGGAGGATTGGGTCCGAACAAAATGAGGATGGAAGCAATTGGTGGTATTATGAGGCTTCAGGATATACAATTGGGGAGTGACTGAAAAAAACGTAGGACACTGAACATCAACAGAATTTAGTATTCAAAAATCAAGGTAGGGGCTGGAGAGATGGTTCAGGGGTTAAGAACACTGGCTGCTCTTCCAGAGGTCTTGGGTTCCATTCCCAGCATCCACATGGTGGTTTACAACCTCCCGTAACTCCAGTTCCAAAGGATATGGTACCCTCCTGTGGCCTCCATGGGTGCAAGGCACTAACATGATAACAGGGGCATATGTGCAGGTAAAAATACTCCCACACATATTTAAAAAAAAAAAAGCTTTCCTGGGCGGTGGTGGCACATGCCTTTAATCCCAGCATTCGGGAGGTAGAGGCAGGCGGATCTCTGGGAGTTCGAGGCCAGCCTGGTCTAGAAGAGCTAGTTCCAGGACAGGAACCAAAAAGCTACGGAGAAACCCTGTCTCGAAAAAAAAAAAAAAAAAAAAAAAAAAAAAGCTTTGTGTAGTGGTCCCTACCTATAGTCCCTATAATCCTAGGATTTGGGAAACAGAGCAGGAGGGTGGTGTAATTCGAGACTATAAAGAGAGAACCTATCTCAAAAGAAAAATAAAAGGCAGTTGGGTATGGGTCAAACACCTTTCGTCCCAGCAGGAGCAGAGGCAGGCAGATCTCTGAGTTCAAAACCAACCTGGTCTACAGAGTGAGTTCCAGGACAACCTGGGCTACACAGAGAAACCCTGCCTTGGAAAACAAACAAAATAGTTTAATGGGTTTGAAAGATGGCTCAGTGGTTAAGAGCACATGATATTCTTGCAGAGGACCCAGGTTCAATTCCCAGCACCCACCTCAGGCAACTTATAACTGTCTGTGACTCCAGCTCTAGGGGATCTGATAATACCCCTTCAACCTCTGCCTCATACACACACACACACACACACACACACACACACACACACCCCTAATAACTAAAAACAAAAACAAAATAACTCCAAGCAAACAAGTAGACGAATGAGGGCAGCAAGTGTGCCACACAGTGATGTGCTTCAGGAAACATATGATAACATTATGGCATTTCAGCATTGGGAGCATGGATGAATGCCACTTACCAATCAAAATCCTTTAGCAAGTGTGACCAGCCTGGCCTCTCTTTCCTCTTGCGCTGTGGATCAAACTGGGGGCCTTGCATGTCCTAGGCAAGCCCTTTCCCAGCGAGTGACAGCTCCAGTTCTAGCTGATACCTTTGCTGCTGTTTTGAGACAGTCGCCAATTTAGCTCAGAATGGCTGCAAACTCAGGATCTTCTTGCCTCTGCCTCAAGAGTGCAGGGTTCGAAGGCATGCATCATCAGGCCCGGCAGATTCTTTTGACAAACCTCTTGTAAATCCTTTAGATTAGTGGTTCTCAACCTGTGGGTAGCGAACCCTTTGGGGAGTCTGAATGATCCTTTCACAGGGGTCGCCTAAGACCATTGGAAAATACAGGTATTTACAGTATGACTCATAACTGTAGTAAAATTACAGTTATGAAGTAGCAACGAAATTAATTTTATGGTTGGGGGTCACCACAGCATGAGGAACTGTATTAAAGTGGAAGGTTGGGAACCACTGCCCTGGGGCCATCTCCCTAGACCTGTATGGGGATGTGATCTCTCTCCTGGGGACAGTTAGGATTTGTTCAATTCTCTATGACAGGACATTGGGAAATGCTGATCAGCAGTAATTCTTTAGCCAAATATTTTTATATTGTATCATGGTCTCTTTGGTAGTTTAATGCTTCTTTTTTATTTAATTTTATTTTATGTGCCTTGGTGTGAGGGTGTCGGGTACCCTGGAACTGGAATTACAGACAGTTGTGAGCTGCCGTGTGGGTGCTGGGAATTGAACTCGAGCTCTCTGGAAGAGCAGCCAGTGCTCTTAACCCCTGAGCCATCTCTCCAGCCCCTAATGCTTCTTTTAAAATTATTTATTTATTGGTGCTTTGTTAGCGCAGTTGGTTAGAGCATGGGTGTTGATAATAATATTTTTTTGATACTTGTTTTTACTGAAGCCCAGGCTGGCCTTGAGTTTATATGTAGGAGAGTAGGGCCTTAAACTCTTTATCATCTTGCTTTCTGCGTGCTGGGATTACAGGCGTGTGACACCATCCCCAGCCGTTTGTTTCTTGCAGGAAGGCACCTGTGTCTTTGTCTTTCTCAGTCATGCCAGCTCTGTGCCTTGCTAGGTAGTCTGTCCAAGGTATGTTTGAATGGATGACCATGAGGGATGGGAGTCGAGAGAGAGCAAGGTACTATGGAGCAGCCTCAGTTCACGTGGGTATGATGGCATATCCACCCATAGAGACTGCTGGAATGTTGAGAAATAGTTTTTGGATGGGGGGTTTATAATTAGTATGAGATGTTCTGGGTCAGTTAAAGTTCATGCAAGTTTTTCATCTAGTCAGCATATTCTTTATTTGATTTTACACAAAATTTCAGAGCTGGAGGCAAGCATCTAGAATATACCTGGATTTTGATTGGCTTGGATGGGGCTCTAGACTGGCTCTGTGTTCCTGAGAGTCTGGAAATGGTGAGCTAGGGAGCCCCAGGTCCTGATGGTTGGGAGACTTCTGGCCAGAATACTCCTTTTGCCCAGAAAGGGAATAAGGTGTGTACTAATAGGGGCGGGGACAGGGCAGTTAGAAGTTTGCCACACCCTCTCTGCTCTTGGGTGTTGGAAGAGACTGACAACTTCTAGAGATGGGGGAGGTTGTGAATATTATGGGATGTCTGGCCAGAAGGCCTGCGTGAGACGGTAGAGTACAGCAGAAGTATTATGGGATGTGGCACTGGGTTGTGTTGGGAGTATTATGGTATCATGGGCTTTTGCAATTATGGGATGTCCGAGTAGATGGAGTAAATGATGGGACGGTTCCCCACTGTTGGGGGGGAGGAGATTTAGATGTCCATTTGTGGGGTGACTGACAGTAAAGCTGCTGGTCATTAGTGAGTATCTCTTTGATAGGGAGGAGTATGATTTATGGGCCATGGAGCTAGGAAGAGACCAGAAAGGCTGGGATATGAGCATCTAGAATCTAGACCCTGGTGTGCAGACTGAGGGCAGCTCTAGGGGGTTGGCTATTATGGGATATCAGTATAGAAAGTGGGAGACATTATTACGGGATGTGTGTGGGAGGAGGCCGAGTGTCCGTTGTTGTAGTGTGGGGTGGGTGAGTTTCTGACAATCATGGGATATCAAACTGGGGGTGGATGAAGGGTGGTTATTATGGGATGTTAGTGGGGGATGGGGTTGAGTATTATGGGATATGAGGCTGAAGTACTGGGAGGGTGCTTATTATGGGATGGCCAAGGGGAGGGAGGGGTAACGAGTTATTATGGGATGTTAGCAGTAGGGCCAAGAGTGAAGAAGTTGGCAAAGAGTGGTTATTATGGGATATCTGAGGTGGGGAGCAGGTTTAGTTTGTAAAAGGTCTGCACTATATGTCAGTAGCCCCCGGGCATATATATGCATGGAGTGTTGGGGGCGGGGTGTGTGTATGTGGTGTGTCCGTGTGTATTATGGGATGGCCAGGAGGTGGGCGGTTGCCCGGGTGACGCGCGCGCGCGCTCGACGGGGGCGTGGCCAATGGTTGCCTGAGCGACGAGGGGGCGGGGGTTGCCCGGGAGACCTAGGGAGGAGGGTGGCGGTAGTGGAGGGGGGTTGGAGTTGGTTGAGGTTATTATGGGCTGTCCGGGGGGGGCGGGGCCTGTGCGGTGGGATTTCCCGGCCGGTGTTTCGGGCCCTTTAAGAGGCGACGCCGGAGCCGGAGCCATTTTCCCCCCTTCGGCCGCGGCGAGGAGGAGCCGGAGCGGAGTGACACCGGCGAGACCCAGCGCGACCTGAGGCGGCTCTAGGGTGAGGAGAGCGCGAGGCTCTGGGAAAGACGTCTCTCACAGCCCGACATCATCCTGGGGGTCGTTCCTTCACCTGTCCCTTCCTCAGGCGTCCCGGGGCCCGCGGGCCGTCCCCCGGCCAGGGAGCCGACTGTTTCTCCTCTCCTGAGGCGTCCGAGTTGCCCTCAGGCGTCGCCCTGCCCTTAGGGAGTCGTGCTCCCCGCGCCCCTCTCCCGGGCTCGGCCTCCCACAATGCCGGGCGCCCGCCCCTCGCCCTTTCCTCACTAGCCCCCCGGGACACGTGGCCCGGCCCCCTTCTCGGTGGGAGCTCGCTTTCCGCCGGCGTCCCGACTCCTGGGGTCCCCCGTGCGCCCGAGCCTCCACGCCCCCTGGTCCCCGCTGTTCCGGAAGAGAACCTGAGTTGTCCCAGAGGACAGCCTTTGGAGAGCTGCCCTGTCTGGGGACTGGCCCCTCCCCGGGCTCAGAGAGGCGCCCCCCCACTCCCAAGTGACCTTGTGTCCCCGAGCGCCGGCCGCCTCCCCTGACCCCCGCTGCGCCTCGCCGCTCGGACCCCCTCCCCAGTCACTCCTGGCTTAGTCTTGCCCAGCTTGTCCCCCCTCCCCGCCATGCACCAGCCTGACCTCGGGGGCGTCGCTCCCTCTTCTTGGGGGCTTCTGTTGGGGAGCTTGCTCACAGGCTGTCCCCGAGGAGTGTGGAACTAAGTTCAGCCTGAGTGGTTCGGGTGCTCGGCTAGGGTGGCAGGGCCGGGGGGGGGGGGGCGGAAAGAGCGGGTGGGGGAGGGGGACTGCGCGTCACTCACTGTTCTCCCCCCTCCCCCGCACAGTGACTCGGGCCAGTGTAGAGGGCCCCAGGCCGCAGGCAGGAGCAGCTGGGCCAATTCCCTGGCCGGGGAGCGGAAGGGGATGGCGTCGGGCCTGGGCTCCCCGTCCCCCTGCTCAGCGGGCAGTGAGGAGGAGGATATGGATGCACTTCTGAACAACAGCCTGCCCCCACCCCATCCAGGTAACATCTTCCCAGAGGGCCCAGGGCAGGAAGGAGGTGTTTGATCTTTCTAGAGACTTCAGTGAGGCTGAGTGCGTTGCTTGTCTCCTGTGTGCAGAGCCCAGGGTGGAGGGCATCCGAAGGGAGTGGTTCTCTTCTGCGGAGCTCTAGTGTGTGTGTGTGGGGGGGTGCGTTGGGAGGGGTGGAAGCCATGTGCCTCTTGGGCACCGCGGACCCAGATGTAAGCTGGCTGTACTCAAGGCTGTCTGGAATACTCCGCAGTTCCCAGTTGAGGGAGCTCTCTGGGTTAGCAGGCAGTACCTGGTGCGGGTTCTTAGGAATGCAGGTGGCCGGGACTCTTGGAGACTCTGCTGGTGACATGGGGTGCGTTAAGATTTCTGTTGTAGGAGCCCTGCCAGGCGCCTGTGATCCCGCGGTTCTCGAGAAAAGAAAGTGGGGAGTGTTGGTTGTTCTCTGTCCGATTATTTTTAGCTTGTAATCAGTTACCGGTTTTATGCGCTGTTTCAAGAGTGTGAAGTTTGAATCTCGCTCCTTATCGGATCTAGAGAACTTTGAGCTAGGCAGATTATTGGAATTTTTTTAAGTGGGGAAAGGATGGGGAGGGTTAAGGGAGAATGCAGTAGACTAGTGAGGAGAGGCAGAGAGAAGAAGGGACTCCTTTTCCCTGGTGTGGACATAAGCCTGGCCTCTTCCCCAGAGGCTTCGGCCACTCTGAGGTAGTTTGGGGTCTGGCTTGGGGTGTGAGGTGTTTGTGTGGGTGTGTTAGGGTTTGCACTATCAGTGTTTTGGGGTGGCTCCCTGGACTGGCCAAACCCGTATAGTTATAACTAGCCTGCCTGAGTGCCTGTCCTCAAGTGATGGTTGATGTCATGCTTTTAAGTGGATGTCTTCCACTTGTCTCCTTATTCAGAGCCCCTTAGTTAAGACACCTATTGTTTTATTTGACTCTCTGTTCACTTAAAAAATTAAAATTTAAATTAAAAAAAAAGCAAGCCTCTCCCCACTAGTACCATTTCTTTATACACACAGCTGCATCATTCTCAAGTCTGGTGGTCCTGGTTTTTTGTTGTTGTTGTTTCTGATTTTCTCAGTGTAATAGCCCTGACATCTGCTCTGTAGACCAGGCTGGTCTCGAACTCTCAGAGATCCACCTGCCCCTGCCTCCCAAGTGCTGGGATTAAAGACATTCGCCACCACAGTCTGGCCTGTTTTTGTTTTTTTTATGACATGGTTTCCACTTGTGCCTTTTCCTTAGATCCAACTGGAATTTGAGGTTTCCAGAAGAAATACTTTTCAAATTTGCCTTTTCCTTTTTTTTTTTTTCTTTCAAGACAGGGTCTCACTATGTGTAGCTCTGGCTGTCCTGGAATTCACTTTGTAGGTTGGGCTGGCCTCAAACTCAAAGAGATCAACCTGTCTCTGCCTCACGAGTACTGAGATTAAAGGTGTTTGCCACCACTGCCCAGCAAATTTGACAATTTCTAACTTGGAATTCTTCACTTCAGTCTGAGACCATTTAAGAGAGCTGTTTTTTTTTTTTTGTTTTTTTTTTTTTTTTTTTTTTTTTTTTTTTTTTTTTTTGTTTTTAAATCTTTCGAGACAGGGTTTTTCTGTAGCTTTGGAGCCTGTCCTGGAACTAGCTCTTGTAAACCAGTCTGTCCTCGAACTCACAGAGATCACTCTCAGCAAGAGCTGATAGTCTTCATATCTTTGGCCACTGGGATAAGGGACTTAGCTGAGGCATAAGGCTGCACATTTCTGCGTCTTTCTGGGATGGTGGTGGGAAGGAGGAGGCCTATTCTTTGTGAGGGCGGGATGAGTAGTGCTATCCCACCAGTGTTGGTCCCCAAATTAGTCTTCTGTTATCCCACTGGTCTAGGGCCTCCCTCCCAAGTCTAGTGTGAGCGCTGCAGGCTCTCAGTGTGAACTCTGCCCCAATATGTAGCATGACCCAGTTTTTCCACTTGACACACCCAATCTGCCCCTTTCCCAAATCTCCCTCAATCTCACACAGCGTGTTGCTTATCATTTCGGCGTGTGATTTGCCTGAGGGTTGGTTGTGTATGGATGGAAAGGTATCTGCTCAGCTTCCATGAGTTTGTCCTTGTCTCCCTTCTCTATAGGCAGAGATGAAGAAGGGAAATGTGGCTGATAGAGGGTAGTGTAAGGGTTATGGGGGAGAAGCCTCTAAGACAATGATTTGAGAGTGAGAGGGACCTTCTAAGTGGACTTGACCCTGGAATGAGTGCAGACCAGAGGCTTGTGGTGCTTTGTGCAGCCTCAGGATGTGCCTTACTCCAGAAGGGCAGAGCCAGGATCATTTTAGGGCTACTTCTGGGGCTCATGAGCTAAGAGTATTTTTGAGATTAAAGGGAACTTTTTTTTTTTTTTTGTTGCTGTTCTCTTGGTCCTACTACTTTTTTGGGGTCTGAACATGATTTCCATATATTGGATAGGATTTTTGTTGGGGATCTGAACTTTGAGACTGATTGTAGGCTTCATTCCTCAGGCTAAAGCTTTTAGGTACCTTCAAGGGAAAAAGGTCATATGGCTTGATAGCCTCCACTGAGTCCTTGTTATTTCTTAGTTGTAATGTCTTAAAAAAAATTAAGATTGAGTTCAGTCCTTCAAATAGGATCCCTCTTCATGCTGTCTTGGTTTGCTTGCCTGGAGCTTTAGGGTGAACACTTAAAAACTGTGCCGTGCTTGAGTAGGTATTAGAGATCATTGGCTTTGGACCCAGGGCCAGGTAATAATTTGAGAAGTTTTCTTTGAGGGTACTCTTTGCTCTGTGTACTTCTGTCGGCTCCACCCCCTCCCCGCCACTTCCTGTCTGTCCTATGTTGGCACTAGGTGCCCTGGGCTGGCTTCTGCGGTCAGGAGCCATTTTCCTTCTCTTCAGTGGGTGAGGCACTCCCTTCTCTCTCCTCTTTCCTACTCCCCCCTTCTTGGGCGGGGGTGGCTTGGGAAGAGAGTGAAAAGAGGGAGGAGGGAACTGGTAGCTGGTGTACATGTCTGGTACAAAGAATGCTACCTCCTAGCCTTCTCCCTCTGTGCCCCTTTCTATCTATCCTTGCCCAGGAGCCCCTGTGTTACCCAGGCTTTGTGTGTGCTTCTAGCCAGGGAAGGAGGTGGAGCCAGATGGGAGGGGGGTTGGGAAGGGGAGATGGTGACAGCTGGGCTGATTCCGGGGCCCCTAGGGAGAAGAGTCGCCTGACCCAGGAGAAAGCTGGAAAGAAACAGTAGGACTAGAGATGGAGAAAGGAAACTGGGAATGGGTATGAATTTGAACTGGAAACTGAATCTGGACTGGGGAGATTCTGGTGGTTCTGAGCAGTGATAATCTCAAAGGGGTTTGATAAGGGTGTGATTTCTCAGACCCTGAAGCTGGTATTTGATCTGGGGTGATGTGGTGAGAACTGAGTTTGTGTTCAGTGCCTCTGGTTAGTCTTCCCTTGCCTCTGTTGTCTGGGCCGTTTGGCCACTTTGTGGGAGACCTGGATCCAGTTCTGTAGGCAGTTCTGTGGTGAGGAGAGGAGGTAGGGGCCTGGACAGCTGCCGAGGTAGGCCTGCTCTAGCCTGGCAGGTTTGTTTCAGGGCTAGCCAGCTCTCTCTGTCTGTCTCTGTGCTGGCTGTCAGCTCCCTTCTGTGTAGTGTAGTAGTTCTCTTTTAGGAGAGTCTGGGATGAGAAATGGGCAGAGACAGTCTAACCCTCTGAATTAGATCCTTAACCTTCTGTCGTTGCTCTTTTCCCCATCTGCCCCACTTTGACAAATGCATGTAGAAAATGAAGAAGACCCAGAAGAAGATTTGTCAGAAGCGGAGACTCCAAAGCTTAAGAAGAAGAAAAAGCCTAAGAAACCTCGAGACCCTAAAATCCCTAAGAGCAAGCGCCAAAAGAAGGAGGTAAGTGGGTGACTGAGTGTTCTGGGGAGTGAGAGGAAGCAAGGAGGTACTCCGAGAGCGGTTGTGGGCCTGAGGGTGTTTCTCCTTCTGGAGCTGTGGGTCAGGTTCTGGGATGAGCCGCAGGACTATCCTGAGGTCAGCATGTGTGTAGCATGTGTGTCTGTCTCCCTCTCCCCCTTCCTTGCTCCAGCGTTTACTCTTATGCCGGCAGCTGGGGGACAGCTCTGGGGAAGGGCCAGAGTTTGTGGAGGAGGAGGAGGAGGTGGCTCTGCGATCAGACAGTGAGGGCAGCGACTACACTCCTGGCAAGAAGAAGAAGAAGAAGCTCGGACCTAAGAAAGAAAAGAAGAGCAAGTCCAAGCGGAAGGAGGAGGAAGAAGAAGAGGATGATGATGATGACTCAAAGGTGCCAAGACTGCTGTCCTGTCCTCTTTCCTGCTAGTGCCTGTCCCTTGTTCCCAGATCCTGCCCTCAGAACACAATCTCTCCATATAGTTGTGATTATTTCATCCTAGCCCTCTTTTACCCTGCTCTTGCAAGCCATAGTTTCAACTCACATTCTCTTAGCAAGTGTGGACAGTAGTAGGAGGCAGGTCCTTGACTGTGTTCTCTCTGCAGGAACCGAAATCATCTGCCCAGCTTTTGGAAGACTGGGGCATGGAAGACATTGACCATGTTTTCTCAGAGGAAGATTACCGTACCCTCACCAACTACAAGGCCTTCAGCCAGTTTGTCCGGTAAGTCAGGAGGATCTTAGGGAATGGAAAGAGAAGATTCCTTTTAGAATTTCTTTTTGTTTCCTTTTCTCTTTTATTTTTATACATGGCCATCTTTCTTACTCTTGTCCATCTTATTCTTGTTCATTTCTTTACCAGACCCCTAATTGCTGCTAAAAATCCCAAGATTGCTGTCTCCAAGATGATGATGGTCTTAGGTGCAAAGTGGAGGGAGTTCAGTACTAACAACCCCTTCAAAGGCAGCTCTGGAGCTTCAGTGGCTGCTGCAGCTGCAGCAGCTGTGGCTGTGGTGGAAAGCATGGTGACGGCTACTGAAGTTGCACCTCCCCCTCCGCCTGTGGAGGTGCCTATTCGCAAGGCCAAGACCAAGGAGGGCAAAGGTGAAATGGAATTTAATGAAGAGTCCAGGGTGGGCTAGGGAAACAAAAGACAGCATAGGAATGCTGTATTGCCCCTAAGGTAGGCGGCAAGAGGCAGGAGTAAGCCTCAGATTTAGAAGATAAGGTAGAGTAGAGCAAGCTTAGGTGAAGACTGTTCTCCCATCACTTGCCTTACGATGCACATTTGGCTGTATCTTGACTGTAGGTCCTAACGCTCGGAGGAAGCCCAAAGGCAGCCCTCGAGTGCCTGATGCCAAGAAGCCTAAACCCAAGAAGGTAGCTCCTCTGAAAATCAAGTTGGGAGGTTTCGGCTCCAAGCGTAAGAGATCCTCGGTGAGCACCTGATCCATCCCACTGGGGAAGGAGGGAGTTGTGTGGTGGAAAGGATGTTGCTTTCTGTCTGGTACGTAAGAATGGGGGGTTTACTGCCTTAGACAGGTGTGACTAGGCTCCTTCTGTACAGTTCTTGCTGGGGTTCTTTCCATTCTTTCCTGGGCTTGGACTTTTAACTTTATTCTTTTCTCATTTTTTTCAGAGTGAGGATGATGATTTAGATGTGGAATCTGACTTCGATGATGCCAGCATCAATAGCTACTCTGTTTCGGATGGTTCTACCAGCCGCAGTAGTCGGAGCCGCAAGAAACTCCGGACCACTAAAAAGAAAAAGAAAGGTGTGTTTCTTTTCTGTACTTATGTGTGATGGGACAAGGTGGGAATGAATGGCCATGGAAGAATCTCCCTTAGGAGATCAGGGTTGGGGGGAGGTGGTTTTGTTCTAATAATTGGGCTTTCCCTCTTCCTTGCCCAGGCGAGGAGGAGGTGACTGCTGTGGATGGTTATGAGACAGACCACCAGGACTATTGCGAGGTGTGCCAGCAAGGCGGTGAGATCATCCTGTGTGATACCTGCCCCCGAGCCTACCATATGGTGTGCCTGGACCCAGACATGGAGAAGGCCCCCGAGGGCAAGTGGAGCTGCCCACATTGTGTGAGTACCTGGCTGCTGTGGCCCCTGGGTACCCCTAAGGAAAAGGGTGGGGTGATAAGCTTCTTTAAGCCTAGGTAGAAATAGAAATGGCAGTGTCCTTGGCTTTGGGAAACATCTAAAGGAACAATGGAGTAGGTTCTGGCTTGGGGAGGGGGTGGGGGTGGTAATAATCTGATCTCTGGTTTTTTATTGCAGGAGAAGGAGGGCATCCAGTGGGAAGCTAAAGAGGACAATTCTGAGGGTGAGGAGATTCTTGAGGAAGTTGGAGGAGACCCAGAAGAGGAAGATGACCACCATATGGAGTTCTGTCGAGTCTGCAAAGATGGCGGGGAGCTGCTATGCTGTGACACCTGCCCTTCTTCCTACCATATCCACTGCCTGAACCCCCCACTGCCAGAGATCCCAAATGGCGAATGGCTCTGTCCCCGTTGTACTGTAAGTGACTTCAGTGAAGGTGGGATGTGGGAGCAGTATCATATATCTCACATATATCTGTAGGCATGGTGAGGCTGAGGTTAGGGAGAGGTTATTGGAGACCTGCTACACATTTTCTTTCTTTTTTTTTAAATATTTATTTCTTTACTATGTATACAATATTCTGTCTGCATGTATGCCGGCAGGCCAGAAGAGGGCACCAGACCTCACTACAGATGGTTGTAAGCCACCATGTGGTTGCTGGGAATTGAACTCAGGACCTCTGGAAGAACAGGCAGTGCTCTTAACCGCTGAGCCATCTCTCCAGCTCCTGCTACACATTTTCTAGCTGAGGCAGGAATTTCTTTTCTCAGTCTTGGGACCCCATTTCCTGTGAAATTAACTGAAGAGAAGAGATAGTGTCTTGGTTGATAGTCCTCTGAAGCAGGATGAAGTACTGTTCTAGTTTGTTTAGAGTAATCATTCCTGTTTTCTTTTTTTGTTTTGTTTTGGTGGTGTTTTGAAGTGATGTCTTATGTAGTCCAAGCTGGCCTTGAACTCACTATGTGTAGCTCAAGCTGGCCTTGGTGTCTCCTGAGTGCTGGGATGATAGGTATGAACCCTACACGGGATCCTGTCTTTAAAAACTTTAATTTTGGGAGCACTGATACTCTTGCAGGACCCTGTTTTGTTTATTGTTGTTTTGAGAAGGGATTTTTATATGTCTTGCCTGTCCTGGAACTAAGGAGACTTGCTGGCCTTGAACTCAGATCTGCCTGCCACTGCCCCTTGCCTGTGGCTGCACTGAAGTTTCTTCCCCTTCCCGTCAGTCCTTTGTTCCTCTTTAATAGGATTGTGTCTACTGTTGTGTCCTCTGTACATACAGGATTTTATGTACCTCTAAGTTTAGGATTCAAAGGTTAGAGAAAACTTGTTTTTCTAAGACTGACTTAATTTGCCTATATGATTGCCATTTTTACCCATTTTCCTGTAAATGACATAACTTTATTCTTTATAGCTAAAAGAATGGCATTGTATAAATGATGCTACATTTTCTTCATTCTTCTGTTGATAAGAACCTAGTTTGGCCCCATAACTTGGCTCTGGTAAATAAGTGCTGCATTAAACTTTTATTTTTGAGACAAGGACCTCATTTTGTATCCCAAGCTGGCCTTGAACTCATACTGTCCTACCTATCTTCCTGAGTATCAGGAGTAAAGCTCAGATTACTATGCCCAGCTTCATTTCAGTCCAATGTTTTCTCTGCCCAGCTATTCTGGGTTATTGTTTAAAGTATGGTTTCTTGGCCTTTTTTTTTTTTGGTTTTGGTTTTTTTTGTTTGTTTGTTTTTGTTTTTTTGAGACAGGGTTTCTCTTTTTAACATCCCTGGCTATCCTGGAATCATTCTGTAGACCAGGCTGGCTTCGAATTTAAAAATTGGCCTGCCTCTTCCCCTCAAGTGCTAGGGTTAAAGGCATAAGCTGCCACCACCAGGCCCTTGGCTTTTTATTATTTATTTGTTTGTTTGTTTGTTTGTTTATTTTTAAGGCTCTGTGATATCCAGAAAGGGAGAGAAAATTCTAGAGTTTTTTACCTAGGGAGGGTCATGGGTTTAGAGTTTATTTGACATGAGGTCTTAATGACTTATTGACAAGATTAAAGTTGTGGGATTGACTGCTAATTTGTTTTTAATTATTTAGAAAGTTTTTTTGGTTAGGGTTCCACTTTATAGCCCTGGCTGACCTGAAGCCCACTATAAAACAGATAGACTGATCTTCAATGAACAGAGATCTACGTACCTCTGCCTTCCCAGTGCTGGTATAAAGGACTTGGGTCACCAGACTCCCTGTAGTTTTTAATTTTTATATTCTGGGTGTAATGGTACAATCTTTTAATTCTAGCAGAGACAGTCAGAACTCTGAGCTTAAGGTCAGTCTGGTCTATATATTGAATTTGAGGCCAGCTAGGGCTCTACAGTTAAGAATTATCTGAAAAGAAAAAAAAAGTCAGTGTGTGTGTATGTGGGGGGGGGACCTGTCAGGAGAGCTGCAGTGTTCTACTCTATTATTCTACTTATTCCTTTGAAAAGAATCTTGGTAAACCTAGCTGGCAGCCACCAAGGTCCTGGGATCCTTCTGTCTCTGCTCCCTTGGTACTGGAGTGCATGACTATGTATGGCTTTCGATGTGGGTGCTGGTGACTTGTTTATGATGGGCATTTTGCTGTGTGTGTGTGTGTGTGTGTGTGTGTGTGTGTGTGTGTGTGCCATGTGACAGAAGAGGGCGTCAGATCCCCTGGAACTGAAGTTACAAGTGATTGTTAGCCACATGTGAATGCTGGGAATCAAATCTGGTTCCTCTGGAAGACCAGCAAGTTTAATCTCTCCAAATGCTGGCCATTTGAACTCATGTTCTCATGCTTGTGCAGCAAGTGCTCTTACCCATCCACCCATAAACATTAATGTTTATTAATTCTTGGGGAATTTCATACATCTCTCTGTGGTTTTTAAGTGAGATAAAGTGGTCTCTTTTTCAGTGTCCAGCTCTTAAGGGCAAAGTGCAGAAGATCCTAATTTGGAAGTGGGGCCAGCCACCATCTCCCACTCCAGTGCCTCGGCCTCCAGATGCTGATCCTAATACTCCCTCTCCCAAACCTTTGGAGGGGCGGCCAGAGAGGCAGTTCTTTGTGAAATGGCAAGGCATGTCTTACTGGCACTGTTCCTGGGTATCAGAACTGCAGGTAAGCCTGGGACAGGCTGTCCATGTGGGGTGACACTGCAGAAGTAGTGAGAAAACAGCCTTTTAATAGGAGACTAGATAGAGATGCGGGATGGTTTACTTTCTCTTTCTGCTCCCAGCTGGAGCTGCACTGTCAGGTGATGTTCCGAAACTATCAGCGGAAGAATGATATGGATGAGCCACCTTCTGGGGACTTTGGTGGAGATGAAGAAAAAAGCCGAAAGCGAAAGAACAAGGACCCTAAGTTTGCAGAGATGGAAGAGCGCTTCTATCGCTATGGAATAAAACCGGAATGGATGATGATCCACCGAATCCTCAACCACAGGTACTACTTTGGCTCCACGGAGGTAGTGTGCCCATTAGGAGTGGCTCTTACTGAAGGGGTTAAGAGTGGACATTGCCCCTGACTTAAGCTCAGGAGACATTCTATAATTCAGTGACTGAGTCCTGGAATTTGGCCTATAGGGAGATTATAAATTAGAGATTAGTGGTACAAAGACAGATATCCTTGAGGCTCCGAGGACCTGTAGATTATGCACATTTAGAATGATTTTGCCAGTGTTTTAAGAGCTGACTGAAGAGGTGAGGAAAGTTGCTTTCTGGCTCTGAGGAATTGTTCTTTATTGACCTTGTAGTGTGGACAAGAAGGGCCATGTTCACTACTTAATCAAGTGGCGAGACTTACCCTATGACCAGGCATCTTGGGAGAGTGAGGATGTGGAGATACAGGACTATGACCTGTTCAAGCAGAGCTACTGGAATCACAGGTAGGTGATTGGAGAGAAGAATAGAGCTGCTCTTCTGCAAGGACCCCTAGGCAGCTGTGGTATGTTCTCATTCCCAGGGAGTTAATGAGGGGTGAGGAAGGACGGCCGGGAAAGAAGCTCAAGAAGGTAAAGCTTCGGAAACTGGAGAGGCCTCCGGAGACTCCAACTGTTGATGTGAGTTGGGGTGGAAGAGGAAGGGCATCATTTGTTGGGTGGCAGAAGTCTTGCCAGCTATAGTCTCATGGTCTGCAGATGGCTCTAGCTCTGGTGTTCTAGAGGCTTCATATCCTGCCTCTGCACAGGTCTATAAACCAGAATACGCTGGGATTTCTTTCTTCACCATCAGAAAAAAAAAAAACCCACAAAAGGGATATTGTGTGTGAGGGCAAATATTATCTAGGGAGTGATCTTATACACAAGGGTTTATTTATTTGAGAAAGGCAGCCTCTCTTAGCTGAGGCTGGCCTTGAACTCCTGATCTTCCTGTTTCCACCTTCCAAGTTCTTTGATTGCTGCTGTGTACAGCCTTCACACCTACTTATCTGGCAGATCTAATGGAATTAGTGTATGGGTAGTGAGTTTTTGATACTAGTATTTTTTAATAATTTATTCTTTTAATAGTATTGGTGTTTGGCCTGCATGTAAGTCTGTGTGAGGGTGTCAGATCTTGGAGTTACAGTTGTGAGCTGCCATGTGGGTGCTGGGAGTTGAACCAGGGTCGTGGAGGATCAGCCAGTGCTCTTAACTGCTGACCATATCTCCAGCCCTGGTTTTCATATTGAACTCAGGCCTTTTTTTTTTTTTTTTTTTTTTTTGAGACAGGGTTTCTCTGTAGCTTTGGAGCTTGTCCTGGAACTAGCTCTGGTAGACCAGGCTGGCCTTCAACTCACAGAGATCCGCCTGCCTCTGCCTTCTGAGTGCTGGGATTTAAAAGCAAGCGCCACCACCATTTGGCTTGAACCCAGTTCTTATGTCTCAGCCTCCGAAGTACTAGAATACAGGCATGTGCTACCATGCCTGGCTTCATTAAGGGTTTTTGTTGCTGTTGTTTTTCTTTTAGCTCTTGGGGAAAAAATATCTAGTGAGGCCATGTAAAGGAGGAAGTAGCTGCTGTCTTATGGGAAAAAGGGAATTCTTTACCAGCTCTTGTCTTCTCTCTCATCCTGCAGCCGACAGTGAAGTATGAGCGACAGCCGGAGTACCTGGATGCCACAGGTGGAACCCTGCACCCCTACCAAATGGAAGGCTTAAACTGGCTCCGCTTCTCATGGGCTCAGGGCACTGATACCATCTTGGCTGATGAGATGGGCCTTGGGAAGACTGTGCAGACAGCAGTCTTTCTCTATTCCCTCTACAAGGAGGTGAGGACAGCAGATATGTTAGTTTTTAGTGTGGGGATTTTGTGGCTGTATTCTTTTCTTGTACTTTGAGGAGAGAGAGGAAGGGAAGAAGGGAGTCTGACTTTGAACACTGCTCAGGGATAAGAAGATATAGGTCTGCAATGGAAAATTTTTTCCTTAACATTTTTAAAAAAATTTTATTTGCGTGGGTGTTGTACCTTTAGTATATCTGTGCTGGAGAGATGGCTCAGCAGTTAAGAGAGCACTGCCTGCTCTTCCAAAGGTCCTGAGTTCAATTCCCAGTGATCACTTGGTGGCTTACAACCATCTGTAATGAGATCTGGTGCCCTCTTGAGGAAGAGACCTGGTCAGTCGCCCTTATCAACTTAGACCATGAAACCCAATATGGACAGGTTCAGCATTGCCAGGGCATGAATTTCATTTCACTCATTCATGTCTCTACACCACCTGTGTGCAGTGCCTGTGGAGGCCAGAGGATTGTCAGATCTCTTAAAGCTGGAGTTACAGACTGTGAGCCATCATGTGGGTCCTGGGATCTGAACAGGGGTCCTCTGCAAGAGCAGCCAGTATTCTTAACCAGTGAACCATCTCTCTAGATCCTACGGCGGAAATATTATGGGAATGGAGCCATGGTAGACTTAGTATATCTGCTGTCCTGGGGAATGGGGAATGCATGCGTTTTGAGGTAAACAGAATTGTGGTTGGACTTAGTGGTAGGGAAAGTCTTGGTGGAAGAGTGTGACTTTAAAGGTCAAGGTGAGCCGTTGCTTTTTGGAAAAGAGGATCAGATATCTTTTGTAATGAGAATGATGGGTGGAGGCAGTGGTGCAGGTGTCAGGCCTCGGTTTCACTGAGGGTCAGGGAGAGATGTGAGTCTGGGGTTTAGGATGATGGTTCTCTTAGTTCTGATTCTGCCTGCTTTCTTCCTCCTAGGGTCATTCCAAAGGCCCCTTCTTAGTTAGTGCTCCTCTTTCTACCATCATCAACTGGGAGCGAGAGTTTGAGATGTGGGCTCCTGATATGTACGTGGTAACCTATGTGGGTGACAAGGACAGCCGTGCTATCATCAGGGAGAATGAGTTTTCCTTTGAAGACAATGCCATTCGTGGTGGCAAGAAGGCCTCCCGAATGAAGGTATTTCAGTGGGGGAGGAAGAGGGTACTGGGGTACTGTGTGAGAGGGATTCAGTGCTTTGGGCTTAGTTTGCTGCCTCACCTGATCTCTGGGTAAGGCAAAAAACAATAGCTCTGGGACCAGGGAAAGCTCACCTGTCCCTGGATGTGCTGATACTGGAGGAGTGGACAGTAATGAATAACCAACTCATCTTTTGCAGAAAGAAGCATCTGTGAAATTTCATGTTTTACTGACCTCCTATGAATTGATCACCATTGATATGGCCATCTTAGGTTCTATTGATTGGGCCTGCCTCATTGTGGATGAAGCCCATCGTCTGAAGAATAATCAATCTAAGGTAAGTAGGTAGGGAGGTGATAGTCTCCAGATTTAGTCTTTGGGAACATCATCTCTTTGAACAAAGCCTAAGTAAAGAAGAAAGGAAAAATGGTCTTTGTTTCCTTCCTTACCTGTGGTAGCACTTCTGTGGCCAGCTTTAAGAATGCGGCTGGCCGTGGGCTGAGAGACTCATTTCACCGAACAGTAAGACAGCTTGGGATCTTGTCGAGGTATATTGGTACCCTGATTTCTTGATTTCACCTCTCTTCACCAGTTCTTCCGAGTTTTGAATGGTTACTCATTACAGCACAAGCTGTTGCTAACTGGGACTCCATTACAAAACAATCTGGAGGAATTGTTTCATCTGCTCAACTTTCTCACCCCTGAGAGATTCCAGTAAGTGTGTTTATCATAGTCAGTCCATGGTTCTGCTTCAATTCTTCTTGGTGCCCATCTCCTCTATTGTTTTCATTTCTTCGTTTCTCTCTCACCGATAACTCTGGTTTTTTTCTTTTTCTGAAGCAATTTGGAAGGCTTCTTGGAGGAGTTTGCTGACATTGCTAAAGAGGACCAGATTAAAAAACTACATGACATGCTGGGGCCTCACATGTTGCGGCGGCTCAAAGCTGATGTATTCAAGAATATGCCATCCAAGACAGAACTGATAGTGCGCGTGGAGCTGAGCCCTATGCAGAAGTGAGTGTGAAGTGTGGAAGCCCAAATTCAGTCTTGTAATCCAGTTAGACCCTGCCATTTTGCCAAGGGTTTCTCCCATGTAGCCTCTAGGCATCTGGTGACAGGAGCAAGCAGGGCCTGAAGAAACCTGATTCCTGGGAGCTGGCATTTGTAGTTCTTAGTTATACCTTCCTGTGTCTAACGTGACGATGGTGTGGCTAGTGCTTGTTAGCTTAGCCCCACAGGGAGGAGTGCCGAAAGATGAGCTCAGGCTGTTGGGTTGCAGCAGTCATTTAAAGCCTTGAGTCCAACCTGTCCTTGCGTCTTGTTCATATAGAAAGTACTACAAGTATATTCTCACGCGGAATTTTGAAGCACTTAATGCTCGAGGTGGTGGCAACCAGGTTTCCTTACTGAATGTGGTAATGGATCTTAAGAAGTGCTGCAACCACCCTTACCTCTTCCCTGTGGCGGCAATGGTAAGATGAACCATCTCTTTGTTTTCCCTCGATTGCTAACTCCTCCTTGTGAGCTTTCTTTCAATATACTTTCTTTTGCTTCTGTCACCAGGAAGCCCCTAAGATGCCTAATGGCATGTATGATGGTAGTGCCCTAATCAGAGCGTCTGGGAAATTGTTGCTGCTACAGAAGATGCTTAAGAACCTTAAGGAGGGAGGGCATCGTGTACTCATCTTTTCCCAGGTGTGTGGGCCCAACTAGAAGTGCAGAGGCAGTGGTGGGACAGCTCTAGTGCCTGAGAAGAGGGGTTATCACCTACCAGCTCTATAATTAATTCAGCTGTTCCTTTTACAGATGACCAAGATGTTGGACTTGTTAGAGGATTTTTTAGAACATGAAGGTTATAAATATGAACGCATTGATGGTGGGATCACTGGGAATATGCGTCAGGAGGCTATTGATCGCTTCAATGGTAAGAGAGGAATGGTTTATTTCCAGGCAATCGTTTTCTTTTCTTCTTTTTCTTTGCCTCCCTTCTTCCTTTCTTCCTAACTTCCTTCTTTTTTTTTTTTTTTTTTTTTTTTTTGGCTTTTTGAGACAGGGTTTCTCTGTAGCTTTGGAGCCTGTCCTGAAACTAGCTCTGTAGACCAGGCTGGCCTTGACCTCACAGAGATCCGCCTGCCTCTCCCTTCCAAGTGCTGGGAATAAAGGCATGTGCCACCATATATGTTTGCTGGGTGGTGGTGGCACATGCCTTTAATTCCAGCACCCGGGAGGCAGATCTCTTGAGTACCAGGCCAGGTGGTTTACATAGTGAGTTTCAAAACAGGTAGATTATGTCAAAATCCTTTCTCTCAGAACCTCCCCCAAAACAACAGAGATTACTTTTTGTGTGTGAGTGTTTTGCCTGCATGTAAGTATGTACACCATGTGTGTGCCTAGGTACTGGAGTTACAGACAGTTGTGAGCTACCATCTCAGTGCTGGGAATTGAACCCAAGTCCTCTCTCTGTAAGAGTAACAGAGTCTTACTATGTATCCTTCACTGGTCTGAAACTCTCTAGACCAGGCTGGACTCAAATGCAGAGATGAACCTGCCTTTAACTAAGTGCTAGGATTAAAGGCATGGACCCGTCCAGTCTCAATCATTTTTCATATATCTCTGGAGTGATCACTTTATTTTCTGTAATGTGTACATGCATGCTTGTGCGCTTACAACTGCGTCTGCACACTTGTGTACCATGGCACAGATGTGGGAGTACAGGGAAACTTACAGGAATTGGTTCTCCCCTTCTACCACATGAGTCCTTGGAATTGAACACAGATATCAAAGCATCTTTGCCTGCTGAGCCATCTCACTGGCCCCCCACTGGTTTGTTTTTTAAGATTTTATTTTGTGTGTGGGTGTTTTATCTGCATGTGTGTCTGTGTACCACAGGTATGTAGTACCTGTAGAGGCCAGAAGAAGGCATTGGATCCCCTTGAACTGGAGTTACAGCTGTTTGTGAACTGCCATGTGGATGCTGGGAATGAACCCAGATCCTCTGGAAGAACAGCCAGTTCTCTTAACTGTGGAGCCAGCTTATTCTTGTGTACCTGTTTTCTTAGTAGTTCTTTTGGGTCTTGGTCAATTGATATGGAGGAGGAAAGCTTTTGAAGAAAGAATTGGATTAGCTCTATTTTCTTACCTTCCCCTTGGAGTCTTTTCTCTATTAATTATATCCCAAGACTGAAAGAAGGGATAGATTAGTTTTATTTTTCAATTTATTTTTATTTATGTATATGTTTATGTACCTACTTGTCTGTATGTGTAGCGTGTATGTACAGGTGCCTGAAGAGGTGTCTGGAGTTATGAGCTACCTGATAAGAACTGAACCTAGGTCCTCTGAGAGCAGAGAGTGCTCTTTATCTCTAGCCCCAAGGGTCAGATTTGTTGAAGCTCAAATATGTGGTAGACTTGTCTATCTCAGTAGATGCAACTACCCCTTCCCCAAACTTTTTTTTTTAAACATTTTTTATATTTTATTTATTATGTATACAACATTCTGCCCGCACGCCAGAGGAGGGCCCCAGATCTCAGTACAGATGGCTGTGAGCCACCATGTGGTTGCTGGGAATTGAACTCAGGACCTCTGGAAGAGCAGCCAGTGCTCCCAACCTCTGAGCCATTTCTCCAGCCCCCCCCCCTCCCCAAACTTTAATTTTTATTTTTTTGAGACAGGGTCTTTGGCTGTCCTGGTTATTTAAAATATTTTAGACTTAAAAGTTGTAAAACAATACAGAATTAACCTGCTGTTCTTAATAATAACAACTTCCAGTGCTTGGTGGCATATGCATGTAATCTCAGCACTTGATAAAGAGCATTGGCTGTTCTTCCAGAAGACCTGGATTTGATTTCTCAGCACCCATGTGGCAGCTCACAACTCTCTAACCCCAGTTCCGGGGCATTCAGCATCCTTTTGTGGTTTCTCCAGGCAGTGCACATATGCTGTGCACAGACATACAAAGGGAAAACATGCATATAAAAAAATAGCTGGGCAATGGTGGTGCACCCTTTAATCCTAGTACTCAGGAGGCAGAGACAGGCAGATCTGGACAGGCAGTTCGAGGGCAACCTGGTCTACGAGTGGTAGTTCTAGGACAGGCTGCAAAGCTACAGAGAAACCTTGTCTCAAAAACCAAAAGTAAACAAACAAGTACATAAATAAATAATAGTAAAAATATTTAAAAATAATTCAAGGATATCTGGGCTACATGTAGTATATAAGCCCTGTCTAGAAGTGGGGAAAGGGGGCCAGTGAGATGGCTAGCAGGCGAAGGTACTTGCTACCAAGCATGTCTCTCTGATTTCTATCCTGGTACCCACATGGTAGAAAGAGCCAACTTCTGCAAGATGTCCTCTGACTATACATATGTGCACATGCATGTATATATACAAAATAAGTGTAATTTAAAAATACTTTTATAAAAGGCCAGTGAGATGATTCAGTAGGTAAAGGTGCCAAGCTTGTTTACCTGAGTTTCTATGTCTAGGAGTGACATAGTGGAAGGGGAAGACTAGCTTTGTCCTCTGACCTCCATGTAGGTGCTGAAGAGTACACTCACATATACTGGCACACAAATACACACAAAACAGAGGTGGGAGGGGTTGTTTGGGGATGTAACTCAATTGTTAGAATGTTTGCCTAACCTTCATGAGGCCCTGGATCCCATTCCCAGCACTACTTAAAGTGTGGTGACACTTAACTGTAACCTCAGCGTTGGGAAGCAGAGGCAGGTGGAGACAGGAAGTTCAGTTATCCTCAGCTGTCTAGAGAGTTCAAGACCAGTCTGATCTACATGAGACTCTGTCTCAAAAAAACAAACGAAAAAACCCCCAAAACTCAAAAACAAAAATCACTTTATGTGACCGTGGTAGGAAGTTAACATTGAGTCATACTGTCAAAGAACTGTAGATCCCGAGTGTCACCAGTTTTTCTCTTAATGTTCTTTTTCTGTTTTGAGGATCCAGTCCCAGGTGCACACTGAGATCCAAGGGTAGATCCTACTCTTTTTTTTTTTTTTTTGAAAGATTTATTTATTTATTATATATACAGTATTCTGTCTGCATGTATGCCTACAGACCAGAAGAGGTCACCAGATCTCATTATAAATGGTTGTGAGCCACCATGTGGTTGCTGGGAATTGAACTCAGGACCTTTGGGAGAGCAGCCAGTGCTCTTAACCACTGATCCATCTTTCCAGCCCCTAGCTCCTACTCTTTACACCATGGTTAGATAGGAAACTTCTTAACTGATTTTTCATCCCCCACCCCTTCCTTTATGATATTAGTGCTTGGATTTCTGGTCAGTTATTTCTTCTTTGCTCCCTTCTCTGCCTTCTCTATCTCTTCTCACTCCTCTTCCAGTAAATCTCCTGTGTGAGCCCTGTTGTATGGTGTTACTCCTTTCCAGCTGATTATAAATAAATTACAGCAGATATTTTTTATGCTGATGTATTTTGACTATAGATTTTGATGCTGATTTCCGTATCCTTCAGGGTACCTTGTTTATGACAGTCATTTGGTGTTTTTTACTGGCTGTTTCTTACCTTCCTTCTCTACTTATTTGTTGTAATTCAGGAGAGAACTCATAGTGTTTTCTGTTTCTTAGCACCGGGTGCTCAACAGTTCTGCTTCTTGCTCTCCACTCGAGCTGGAGGCCTTGGGATCAATCTGGCCACTGCTGACACAGTTATCATATATGATTCTGACTGGAACCCCCATAATGACATTCAGGTGAGTAGAGAAACTCTAGGAGGTCCCAGCAGCCCCTACCTACCCTCCAGGAAATGTTCTGTTATTTGAAAAATTTTTTTTTTTTATTTTTTTATTTTTTTTGGTTTTTCGAGACAGGGTTTCTTTGTGGATTTGGAGCCTGTCCTGGAACTAGCTCTGTAGACCAGGCTGGTCTCGAACTCAGAACTCACAGAGATCCGCCTGCCTCTGCCTCCCAAGTGNCGCTCTTCCAAAGGTCCTGAGTTCAATTCCCAGCAACCACATGGTGGCTCACAACCATCTGTAATGGGGTCTGGTTCCCTCTTCTGGCCGTCAGGCATACATACAGACAGAATATTGTATACATAATAAATAAATAAATTTAAAAAAAATGGAGAGAATAGAAAGGATGCACTAAACAGATCAGAATCAGCCAACTGTGGTGGCTTATGCTTAGGTGGCTTATGCTTAGGGCCCCAGGTACTTAGGAGACAAGGCAGGAATCTCACCTGAGCTCCAGTCCCAGGCCTGGCCTGGGCCACAAAAGCCAACTGGAACTAGAACATGAAGAGCAGGGATCTGGGCCAGGCCGGTTAAGTGAGTGTCGAGGGAATAGCATGTCCTGGTGTCTGCTGGGAGCAGCCAGTGTTAGAACTGTGCCCTTGACAACCACAGCTCACGACCTCCCCTCCCTTTTTTTTTCCCCTCTGCAGTCCTGAAACAGCTGGAAGAATTGTTGAGTGACATGAAAGCCGATGTGACTCGACTCCCAGCTACCATTGCCCGAATCCCCCCAGTTGCTGTGAGGTTACAGATGTCAGAGCGGAACATTCTCAGCCGTCTGGCAAACAGGGCACCAGAACCTCCCCCACAGCAGGTAGGACCAATTTCTTAGTTGCAGCTCTTTGCTTGTGTCCTTGGCTTTCCTACCTCGGCTCTGTGTTCTGACTCTTGGCTGTTTATCCTTCTAGGTAGCCCAACAGCAGTGAAGACCCAGCAATGATCCCACTTCCACCACTGAGCAGTGACCTTCCTCACTTTCTCTTGTCCCGGCTGCCCCCTGGGGGGCCGGAGAGATCCTCGCCTTCCTTCTGCCCATCTTCTGAGTTGTAAAGGAACAGCCCTGTGCACTAGGGGCAGGGAGGGAGTGAGGGGCAATGGTGCCTGCCCTTCCTGCTGGAGAGACAAGCAGCAATAGCGCGGCGCCATGTGCAAGGAGCTGCAGGCTGGCTGCCTTCTGGACCCTGGCTTCTCCCCACCGCGCACCTGTTACAAACTGTTGTGGGTTCTGCCAGGCTTGAAGAAAATGATCTGAATTTCTTCCTCTTTTTGGTTTTATTATTTTGTTGGTTTACTTTGTGTTTTCTCCTTTTGGGGGGTATTCAGAGTGGGCCGGGCCCCTGGGCGAGACACAGCTACCTCTGTTGGCATCTTTTTAATACCAGGAACCCAGCGGCTCCAGCCACTGAGCGGCTAAAATAAAGTTGGAAAAAAAAAAAGAAAAAAAGAAAAAAAAGGAAAAGAACCAAAAGCATAAAAAAAACCACAACAAATTTCTTGATGAGAATTGAAAATAAAAGTTTCCTTGTATTTTAGTGATCTGGTTCAGTGTGGGTGAGTGGGTGCCAGGTGCTGCTATTGTAGAGAACAAGAGGCTGCTGCACGGTCCCTTTGTAGCCTCTAACCTGGAGCAGATGCATTCCTGCAGAGTCCTCCATGCAATAGTTACCTGCCTGGTAGTTGTGAAATATGGCCAGCAGACCACCTAGGGAAGCATTCTATATGGGAATGTGTAACACATACATATGCACACACATTTTGTGTTTGTTTTTTGAGGCAGGGTTTGTAGCTTTTGTGTCTATCGTGGAACTCTCTGTAGCTTCGATCTCAGAGATCCGCCTGCCTCTCCCTCCCTAGTGCCGAGTGGATGTGAGCCACCACCTCCTGCCCTTTTTTTTCTTTTGGACAGGCTGGCATTTGGACAGAACTGCCTGTCTGCCTCTTGAGTGGGCACTAAGGAGGTGTGTTTGAGGCTGCCCTCAGATTCTGCTTCCAGAGAGCTGGGTTAACATTAATGGAGTCCACCACCACACCCAGCTTATTGTTCATAACTTTTCTTTTTGTATTACATACAATTGTGGGGAGGACTACTGTACACGTGGAGGTCAAAGAGCAATTTGCAGAAGTTCCCGATGTCCACAATATGAGTGTGTCCAGTAATGAACTCTGGTTGTCAGGCTTAGCCGCCTGGAAAGTTCTTTACTCTTATCTAGTACTGCTTTGGAGGAGGGCAAGTACGTATTTCTGGCTAAATGAAGAGGGGAAGATTAGCTTCCTTAAGGAAAGCGGTTCTAATCAAAACCTGGGAACAGGAGTGCGGAGACGTGGAACCTCGCGATCTTGAGATCTAAGACAATCCGCAGGATGCCAGGGCAAGGGTCGTGCTGCGGTTCTAGATAGAAGCTTGGCGGCCTCGGGCGTCCTAAACTGGAACCCTCGGAGGAAAGCCGACGTCGGCGGGAGGGCGGAGCGAATAGGAGCCGGCTGCCGCACGTTTCCCTCCCTGAACCGCTGGAGCCGGTGACGCGTGTGTTCCTAAACTTGGTCCGTTCCGGCGCCCCTGCCGGAAAAGGCGGGGCACTGCCGGAGGACCTTTGCGCGTGCGCAGTATACTTTGTCGGCTCGCTGTCTGGGACCTCTTCCCCGAGTGCACGTGGAGAGGGCCTTTGCTGGAGCCGCTTAGTCTCCGGGAGCCAGGTTAGCCAGGCGGAGGCTTCAGGTGCTTGTGCGGTATCCCGGAAAAGGGTTTCGACCTGGGCGCCCCGAGAGGGGCGCGGTGCCAGGGTTTGGTGGGAGTGCCTGGAGGGAGCCCATCAGGGGTCACGAGCATGGCTCTGGGCCGGGCGGGTCTCCTTCCCGGGTAATATCGCTGTGGCCTGCGTTCCCCTTTCAGTATCCACAACGCTGCCCTCCCCCGTTTTTCTTTGCTTTAGCACCATGGGGCGTAAGTTGGACCCTACGAAGAAGGAGAAGCGTGGACCTGGCCGAAAAGCCCGGAAACAGAAGGGTGCGGAGACCGAACTGGTTAGATTCCTGCCTGCAGGTGAGGGTCGTAGCTCCCTGACCCCGCCTGGCCCCTGGTCCATTTTGTATCATAACCTCGACCCGTTTGCGCGTCCGCCTTCACCTGCTGCGTAGATGTGAGTTGTTAGGACAGAAGTCATCCGTGTCGGAAGATAGGGTAGATGCCACTGGGGCACGGGTACCCGGGTGTGCGAGTAGAGGTGCCGTTCTCCGTTTCCAGAAAGGGGGCTCTCATGAAGAATTTAGAAAGGTTTTGCCGAGCCTGGTTTTAGCAAGCAGGAGTTGGAAACGGGACAGGCCAGTCATGAATTGTCTGGAAGAAGGGATGAAAAGCAGGGGTCCGAGTGCAGTGTAGTGAAACACTATTTGGGAGAAAAGACTGCGCAGGGAGCTGGGGTCCGGTTTTTAATGGAAGGTGCAGTTTATTGAAGCATTGGCCAGTCACAGCCCCATGAAAGAGATCCTCAACTCCATGGACGCATGGTATCGCTTGTTAGATCTTAGAGTTCTGGGAAAGAGGCTTCGTTAGGAAATGGATGCTGAGGAGTTGGGTGTCTTACACACAATGGAAAGCGCTACAATTTCTTGTAGAGTATAACATTAGCAAAACTCTGCTGTAGTTGATAACTGAATGAGCTGAGAATAAAGGAAAGGGCAGAGAAAAGGTTTTGAGGTTCTGCTGTCATCAGAATGTCCCTTTTGGTTTGATTTGGTTGCTGAACAATCAGGTAGATGACCGCTTCATCGCCTCTACGCCTTTTACCCCCCCCCCCCCCCCCCCCAGACAGGCTTTCTCTGCAACAAACAGCCCTGGCTATTCTTGGAGCCTTTCCTGGAACTCTGTAGACCAGGCTGGCCTCAAACTTATAGAGATCCACCTGCCTCGGCCTTCCAAGTGCTGGGATTAAAGGTGTGTGCCACTGCTTCCCAGTTTTACTATGGCTATTTTTTTTTCCGAGACAGGATCTCCCTGTATAGTCCAGCCTGGTCTTGAACTCATGGCCTTTTTACCTTAGCCTCCCAAATGTAAGATTACACATGTTAACCACAATATCTGTCTTTCTCTGGTTTTTAAGACAGGGTCCCATATATCTCAGGCTATCCTGGAACTCATTATGTAGTCAAGGATGACCTTGAGCTTCGGATCCTCCTGCCTCTACCTTCTAAGTGCTGGGATGATGGACCTGTGCCAGGTGTGCAACTGCTGTGTCCTGTTCATGTGGTGCTGGGGTTGACTATGACCTCTGCCCTCATGAAAAACACTGCGCACTGTGCTTTCTTTCCAGCTTGTTCTTGGGATATTGCTTCTAGTCATGGTTTATGTGTAACCGGCGGGGAAATTTTATATAAATCAGCAGTAAATTCAACCAAAAACTGCTTTTTGATAGGAAATCTTACTCCTTTCAGTGGCAGAGAGTGAAATTGCCTAGCAGAGCACTTGTTAGGGGGTGACCTATGCAAGTATATGCAAGGATACTTATATACATATATGCAAGTATATGTGTTCTGTTCATTATTTTCCTTATCTGATTTTTTGTTGTTGTTGTTGTTGTTGTTGTTTTGGAGACAGGGTCCCATTATGTAGCTCTGGCCTGGAATTCACAGAGTGTCTGCTTCTGTCTCCAAGTGTTGGTTAAAGGCATCAACTATCACACCTGGGTATTTCTTTTTAGACTGTTTTGGTGGGGTTGTTGAAGATGGAACCTGGGGCTAAGCAGTTAATCTGCTACTGAGTTATATACCATTCTAAAAGAATTTTTGTTTTCTTTTAATATTTTTAAAAGATTTATTTATTTATTATGTATTCAGTGTTCTGTCTTTATATATGCCTGCAGGCCAGAAGAGGGCACCAGATCTCATTACAGATGGTTGTGAGCCACTATGTTGTTGCTGGGAATTGAACTCTTGAAGAACAGCCAGTGCTCTTAACTGCTGAGCCATTTCTCCAGTCCCTTCTTTTAAATTTTTTATTATGTATATTCATTATACATAGTACTATGTACTTTAAAAATATTTCTGGGGACAGGGTTGTTTTTTTTTTTTTTTTTTGAGACTGTAGCCCTAGCTGTCCTAGAACTCATACTGGCTGTAGACCAGCCTGGCCTCAAACTCATAAAGATCTGCCTGTCTCTGCCTCCCAAATGCTAGGATTAAAGGTGTACACTACCACTGTCCGCCTGGGGCAGGGTCTTGTGTAGCCCAAGATAGAATTTAGGCAGCCAGGAATGATGTTGAACTTCTGACCCCTTTGCCTCTGCCTCCCAAGTGCCGGGATTATAGGCATCTGTCATCACACCTGGTTGTATATGGTGCTGAGAATTGAGTCTAAGAATTGGTGCATGCAAGGCAAGCACTTTACCAACCAAGCCATATCCCTAGTCCCTCTATAAGTTGTTGCCCAAACTGGCCTTGAACTTTTGGTTCTCTTGCCTCAGCTTCTGTATTGGCTAAGACTTGTACTATTAGGCATAGAATTTTATTTTAATGGCCAGGCCTCATTATATAGCCCACTCTGACCTGAAATTCAATTCCGGGCTGGCCTCAGGCTCAATTCTTCTGCCTCAGATTCCTGAGTGCTGAGATTATAGGTGTGTGGTGATGAATTTAATACATAAATATTATTGCTGGGCAGCGGTGGCACATGCCATTAACCCCTAGCATTCAAGAGGCGAAACAAACATCCCTTCAGTTCAAGGCCATCCTGGTCTAGTAGGGAGTTGGCATCTCAGCACTACAAAGTTAGAGTGTATCTCAAAAGTCAGATTGGAAGGGAAGAGGAGTTTAAGAAAGCTTATTTTGTCTTCCACATTTCAGCAGCTTTAGTGGATAGTAGGTACTGTTGCTTATGGGCAACGGGTCTATCCTAGCAGGGTGGCTGCACTGAGGAAACTGCTCGAGGGCAGGGTAAAGCAGAAAGGTGGGCAGTGGTGGCACACACCTTTAATCCCAGCACTCAGGAGGCAGAGGTAGGTGGGTCCTGTGAGTTTGAGGACAGCCTTGTCTACAAGAGCTAGTTTCAGGACAGTCAGGACAGAGAAACCCTGTCTCGAAAAACCAAAAAGAAGAAGAAGAAAAAGGGGGGATCCAAAAGAGAAAAGGCTGCTGTCTTAATGTCTTGGTCAAGTACATGCTTTCAGTGATCTGACTTCTTCTCAGTAGGTCTCTATTCCATGGAGATTCCACCACTTTTCAGTCACACCACGGACTGCTTATCCAAGCCATTGAGCAACGTGGCTCAAATTTTAAAAGAAAATAATATCTCTTCCACCCTGTCCTATCTAGTTCTCTTCTGGGACAATTGTTTTCACTTTGACTGCGCGTGTGTGCATGCGTGCGTGTTGTATACATATATATATATATATATATACACACACAATGTACATATGGGTGTGTGTTGTGTGCATACATATGTACATATGGGTGTGTGTGTCTATCTGTCTTACCCAGGCTCTGATGCTGTCTTCTAGTCTCCTTGGGTTCCAGGTGTGATTGTGGCACACAGACTTACGTGCAGCCAAAGGATATACATAAAATTAAAAATTTGAAAATAAAAATTTTAAAGGCAGTTATGATTTTGGGGTATTTCAGTTTTATATTCTTAGATTTTGTTTTCTTTCATTAGGGATGACCATCCTATTCTATAATTTAGTTGCATAGGGATTTAGGTTATTTCTTTGTACATTTATATGAAAGAGTTTGTGTGTGTGTGTGTGTGTGTGTGTGTGTGTGTGTGTGTGTAGGACAGACAAGTTGCAAGAGTTGGTTCTCTCCATATGCGTCCCAGGGTCAACTCTGACATTTAGATTGTTTGTACTTAGGCTATGAATAATGGTTTTACTCTGTCTTGAGGGACTTGGATTTTGCTTTTTTCTTTGAGACATGGTTTCATATATTCCAGGCTGGCTTTGAATTCACTATGTAGTTGAAGTTGATCTTGAACTCTGATTTCTCAAAGGCTAGTATTAGAGGCACATGCTGCTCTGCATGACTTATGCATTGCTGGGGTCACACCTAGGGCCTTGTGTTTGCTAAGCAAGTATCCTCAGCCCAGGATTTGTATTTAATCAGTATTTCTGAAGTGTCTAAGGGGAAAAGAATCTGGAACTTGGGTAATAAGACGTAGAGAGCCAAGCTGGGCAGTTGTGGCACAAGCCTTTAATCCCCAGCACTCAGGAGGTAGAGGTACATAGATGACTATGAGTGCAAGGCCAGCCAGGACCACACAGAGAAACCCTGCTCAAAGAACAAAACAAAAACAATCTGGCGAGCTTTAGAAGGTACTTAAGCGTGTTTCTGTATATATGCATGTGAGGAAGTGTGTGTATGTGCACGCGCGTGACTTTGTTTTTTTTTGTTTTTTAAATTTCTCAAACAGTTGATACTTTTATGTGGTTAATTAAGACCAGATTATTTTCTGGTCTGTTTGTGCCTTGAAGATCTCTTGCAGTGTTTGGAAGCCTCCATCCTGCCGGCTAAGGTGTAACCTTCCTCTCTTTGTTCTCCTGCTTTTGGATGTTGCCAGTAGGAAGGGATAGAAGCTGCCGCAGTGTCTTTTGTCTCGTCAGAATAGTTCTCCTTCTCACATTTTTCTTTAATCAGGCTAACTGCTAATCTACACATAACCTTTGAGGAGCTCTCTCCTGTCTGTTAAATTTCTTCCAAGTTTTTAGGTCCAAGCAGGCACACTGAGGGTTTACAAATCCAGCCATGCAAAGGAGCTATCAGAATGGGAATTGTGAGGACCAGGGGTAGCTGGTGGTGCTGACTTCAGCACCCCTGAGTCCTGGCCCTCCCTCTGCCCCAGGAGGAAGAGGAGGTAGAACGGGAAATCATAAAACAGGAAGAAAGTGTGGATCCTGACTACTGGGAGAAATTGCTGCGGCACCATTATGAGCAGCAGCAAGAAGATCTAGCCCGAAATCTGGGCAAAGGAAAAAGAATCCGTAAACAGGTCAACTACAATGATGGCTCACAGGAGGACCGAGGTGTGTGTGGCCGGCCCCGCCCCCCACCCACGGGCCGTTCTACTAGAGCAGTGGGCCCCGCTCATCTGCCCTCTCTCCCTCCAGATTGGCAGGACGACCAGTCCGACAACCAGTCCGATTACTCAGTGGCCTCAGAGGAAGGTGATGAAGACTTTGATGAACGATCAGAAGGTGAGAGTGGTGCCATCTTGCCGGTTCTGTAGCTGTTGCAAGTGTTTGCTGTCATCAGTGTCACTCATCCATCCTTTCTGCTTACAGCTCCCCGCAGGCCCAGTCGCAAGGGCCTGCGGAATGATAAAGATAAACCATTACCTCCTCTGCTGGCTCGTGTTGGTGGAAATATTGAAGTAAGTACTGTAGATCCTTTAGTGGGATGAAAGGGGGCGAGAGAATGTCATTCAGTGGGTCTTTGGTGGGAAGAGGCTTGCTTTCTCTTATGGTGGTTCTTTTTCTTTAGGTACTTGGTTTTAATGCGCGTCAGCGAAAAGCATTTCTTAATGCAATTATGCGATATGGCATGCCACCTCAGGATGCTTTTACCACTCAGTGGCTTGTGAGAGATCTTCGAGGCAAGTCAGAGAAAGAATTTAAGTAAGTTGAGGGCTGGGCATACCAGTTGGAGCCAGGGCCTAGCCCATGTTGTGCAAGGAAAGGGGTGTTGCTAGGTGAAGCTGTTATTCATGAGAGTTGTGTTCCTGGCTTCCCTGAAAGAGACTTTGGGTTATAGTGTGGATCTGGAGATCAGCATTCCAGAGCATTACAGGGCCTTACCTTGAGATGGAGCCATGTTTATGGCCCCCCAGTGTCTGACGGGCTCTGTTTGACTTCCTACAGGGCTTACGTGTCACTCTTCATGCGGCATTTATGTGAGCCTGGGGCAGATGGGGCGGAAACCTTTGCCGATGGCGTCCCCCGTGAAGGCCTGTCTCGGCAGCACGTTCTTACTAGAATTGGTGTCATGTCCTTGATTCGCAAGAAGGTAAGTGCCAAGCCTGTTTTCATTTTTAAGGATTTCTAGAGAAATTGGGGGCCAATAGGAAAGTAATCTGCAGCTGGAAGGAGTCTTTAACTTGCCATCCTTTGCTATAGGTGCAGGAGTTTGAACACGTGAATGGGCGCTGGAGCATGCCCGAACTGGCTGAAGTAGAGGAAAACAAGAAAATGTCGCAGCCAGGGTCACCCTCTCCAAAGACTCCTACACCTTCCACACCAGGGGACACACAACCCAATACTCCTGCACCTGCACCACCTGCTGGTAAGTCGGCCTGTTATGTCATTTCTGTCCTTTTTTAAAAACTTTGTCCTGTGCCTTTTTCTGCTCCCCTGTGCTCAGTCTTTAACAGGGTAGTCTGGCCGGACACACAGCAATTTCCCTTTCAGTTTAGGAGGGCTGTCCTAAGAATAGGGCTGGCTCTTAAAGGCACGAGAGGACATTTAAGAAAGAGACAAACAGCCTGACCTCTGATCCTGAGACTTCCCTAATTGACTGTCTTCTATTGGTCTGCAGAGGATGGGATAAAAATAGAGGAAAATAGCCTTAAGGAAGAAGAGAACACAGAAGGAGAAAAGGAGGCGAAATCTACAGCCCCTGAGGTGACTGTGGAGGTGAGAGATGGGGTAACTGGATGCTCTGCTAACGTCAGATGGCTCTTGAGATTCAGGCCCATTTGCTTCACCTTCCGTCTTCTGTTCCTTTGAAGTGTGCACAGCCTGCTGCTCCTGCCCCTACCCCTGCCCCTGCCTCTGAGGATGATAAGGCTCCTGCTGAGCCTCTTGAGGGAGAGGAGAAAGTAGAGAAGGCAGAGGTGAAGGAGAGAACAGAGGAGCCTATGGAGACGGAGCCCAAAGGTATACATATATATATATGTTTACAAGCACTCCAGATTGCTGTGTAGTTCTAGACTTTTCTAAGTGTTTGGAGTATCAGGAAGAAGTGATAGACCTGGGACCCTTGACCCTTGCTTCTAAATTATCCCCAGCCTCTGACATCTTTGAAACTCTACTTATAGCAGTATAGATGTGTAACACTGTCCAAGTTTTATGGGGGTCAGAGTGGAGTTGTCTTTCTTTAGGGTGTTCTCAGTGCCTTCTTCTTTAGGCTCTGCTGAGGCGGAGAAGGTGGAGGAAAAGTCTGCAATAGACCTGACCCCTATCGTGGTGGAAGACAAAGGTCAGTGTGTAGAGAAGCTGATTTTTTTCTTATGATTTATTTTTTTATTATGTATATAGTGTTTATTTATTATGTATACAGTTCTGCCTGCATGTATGGCTGCAGGCCAGAAGAGGGCACCAGATCTCACTATAGGTGGTTCGGAGCCACCATGTGTTTGCTGGGAATTGAACTCAGGACCTCTGGAAGAGCAGCCAGTGCTCTTAACCTTTGAGCCATCTTAACCTCTGAGAAGCTGATTATTACTTGGACTAAATTTGTACTAAAACCAGAAACAAAATTATAACCCACCCTCACCTCATTACCTATTACTATAGACATTTTATTCTAAGATAAATGACTTATTAGAGAACTGGCTGGTGACACTTCTTCTGGGTCTGGGAGACCTGAGTGTGGAGGTGGAGGTAGACAGATACAGCATACAAGGGCTGTAGTCCTGACATTTGCCTTTGTGGTATCATGTAGAAGAGAAGAAAGAGGAAGAAGAGAAAAAGGAGGTAATGCTTCAGAATGGAGAAACCCCCAAGGATCTCAGTGATGAGAAGCAGAAGAAAAATGTCAAACAGCGCTTCATGTTCAACATCGCAGATGGGGGTTTTACTGGTATGGGAATAGGGACCTGAGGTGAAGTCAGTGTGTGGTGGGGACATGCTATGAACACCTCTTGGTTCTGTGTTAGGGAGCTAGAACTAGACCATACCAAGATGGATGGGGGAGGACAGGACAAGAATAACTGTTTGTTTGTTTGTTTGTTTGCTTTTGTCTTCGTGTTTTTTGGAACAGGGTCTCATTATGTAGCCCTGGCTGCCCTGGGACTTAGTATATGGACTATAGTGCGCTCCACCTTTCTTGCACACCTCAGTGGTTTTATTCTCACGGGTGTTTGCCTTCTTCTCCACTCTCTAACCTTCCTCTCAATTCCTTCTCAGAGTTGCACTCGCTTTGGCAGAATGAGGAGCGTGCAGCCACAGTCACTAAGAAGACCTACGAGATCTGGCACCGCCGACATGACTACTGGCTGCTAGCTGGCATTATAAAGTATCCTTGCCTGAGTCAAGACTGTGTCTAGGTGCAGGGATCTTAAGGCTTTAGCTTGAGGCTCTTATTTCCTTTGTTTTTCCTGAGCACTTTTCCACTAGCCATGGCTATGCCCGATGGCAGGATATCCAGAATGACCCACGGTATGCCATCCTCAATGAGCCTTTCAAGGGTGAAATGAACCGTGGCAATTTTCTAGAGATCAAGAATAAATTTCTAGCTCGAAGATTCAAGGTGAGCAGGATGGGACAAATGAGACTGAAGGTTCTGTAAGGTCCATTCATTCAACCACTTGTGCCACCCCCGCCCCAGGATACTTACTTTTATGTTATGTGTATGCATGTTTTGTCTGCACGTTTGTGTACTGTTTCTGTGCCTGAAGCCTACAGAGGTTAGAAGAGGGCGTTAAATCCCCTGGGATTGACAGAAGGTAGTGACCACCCTATCCTTGCTGGTAACTGCACTGGGTTTTCTGCAGGAGCAGCCAGTGCTTTTAACCTAGCCGTCTTCCCAGCCCTATAGTTTGTCTTTTTGTAGTCATGACTTGACACAGGGATCAAGATATATAGACTTGGAGGCTGAGCGAGACATGCAGGCCTCTGCGAGTTTGATGCCAACCTAGTCAACATAGCAAGCTTTATCCAGGCCAACCAATGTTACACAGACCCTGCCTCAAACAAAAAGGAGACATATACAGAGTTGAAGTTATTGATTTGTACAAGAGTTGTAGCTGTACCTAATGAGTGGCACAGACTAGTTCAGTGGGTTTGGTGCCGAATTTCTATAGGTTCAGGGGTTTAGCAAAGTTAGGAAGGGATTGAATTGGATCCCTGAGGAAGTAGGGCTGTGGGTAGACTGGGGTCTTGTTTTTTCTGTATGGACGAACGGAAAGCTGAGTGCAAAGAGAAGATACAGGGTGAACCCTGTTTTCAATATTCCACTAAGACAGCCTCATTCAAGTATTTAGCAGCTATTTATTGATATATCTTGTATGTAGATATCAAATAGAATACCATGGAAATAAGATGCACTTCTCCTAAGTTGAGTGTATTTGAGGGAAAAGAAAATGTTTATTAGGCCTGAAGAGGTGGCTCAGGGCTTAAGAGGTCCTGAGTTCAATTCCCAGCAACCACGGGGTGGCTCACAACCATCTATAATGAGATCTAGTGCCCTCTTCTGGCATGCAGGAATTCCTGTATGCAAAACACTGTATATGTGATAAATTAATCTTGAAAGAAAAAAATTATACTAATAATTGTATGCCTTTAGGTGTTATATACTAAGCAGTGAGTTGCACAGAGACATAAGAAGAGATAAGCAATGTGTTTGTTTTTCTAGCATTTGGTTTCACATAGATGACATTGTGTGTTAGGGGGAAGAGGCTACTTAATGCCCTAAGGAAGTTCTACAGGGCAGTTCTACAGAGGTAGCTCATGAATGACTATAAAAGTTTTAATATATATAATAGAGATTATTGGGTAGGAGCAGAGGGACTTATAGATTTGCGTTGAGTAGTGGTGGGAGATAGGTTAGAAAGAGGTTAGGAATTAGAGGACAGTAGGCATCATACCAGAAGGCCAGTGGGTCTTTGTACCAGAAACAGAGTATGGATTTTATTCCTCTAGTTCATAGGCAACCATTGAAGGTCTTTGGATAGGACCAAGGGAAATGAAAACATTGACAAGATTGTAATTATATAGTTAGAGATATTAAGAGCTTGACCTGTGATGCTGACTGTGGACATGTGACGGTTAAAGGGAAGAAAACAACATCAAAGGGTTCTGGACTTTGTGATTTACTGTGGGGTTAGCAAAACTTTTCTGTTAAAGTGCCAGAGACAGCTGGGTAGTGGTGGCACACACCTTTAATCCCAGCACTCAGGAGGCAGAGGCAGGTGAATCCCTGTGAGTTTGAGGCCAGTCTGATCTACAAATCAAGTTTCAAGACACAGAGAAACCCTGTCTTGGAAAACTAAAAAAATAAAGGGAGAGAGGAAAGGGCAGAGAGAGTGAGTAATGCTTAGTAGGCCTAATGGCTTCTGTTGTGAATCCACAGCTTTGGCATTGAAAGCAGTGGGAATAGGGACACATAGTTAGTTCCAATTCTACTTGTGGATGCTCAGATGGGAATTACAGGTAATTTTCAAAAGGAAGCATGTATTCTTATTTTTTAATTTCCCCACAGCCATTTATCTATAACAAAACTTAATTCTTAACTCTTGGGCTATACCAAAGCTTGCCATGAGCACTGGTGAGTGCTGAGTCTGGTGTACATAGTAAGACCCAGAAGTAGCTGACTGAGCTTGAGTCAGTGAGAGGTGCTCCTGTGAGAGCAGAGATTCAGTGTGAGGAAAGCTGCTTAGCATTTCTCACAGTTGACACCCCTTCAGCTACCTTCCTTACCACTGCCCACATCCTCAGTGGGAGGCACATTGAGGGACGTCAGTCACCTGCATAGCAGTGCTGCCCACTACTGTGGACATCACTTGAGTTTGAAAACAGTGGCAGTAGTTAGGGGTGTTGACACAAGCCTGCCACCTAGCTAGCACTCAGGAATTTGAGGCAGGAGTTTAAGTACAGGGCAAACTAAGACAACTTAAAAAGATTACAGCAGCTGAGCCGGGCGGTGGTGGTGCACGCCTTTAATCCCAGCACTCAGGAGGCAGAGGCAGGGGTGGGGGGGGGGTGTCTCTGTGAGTTCGAGAATCAGAAGTTTAGTATTATCCTTAGCTAAGTTTGAGTCTTAGCTAAGTTTGGCCACAGTTGGATCTATCTTAAACAACCCTTCCTAAAAGACAAGACTAAACATTTGGAATGCTTATAACCTGAGGTGGGGGAGTGAGTTGGTGTGGTATATAGACTAGAAGTAGATGTCTATTTGGGCATAAATTCATACATCTTGACTAACACAAGTCATATGTAAACAGGCCCATTCTTATAACATCCTTTATCCCTAGTGGGTCTGTGTAAGGACCAACAGGAACAGCATGTTGGGAGCTCCTGCCTGTAATTCTAGTGCTTATGAGGCTAAAGCAGGAGGAACCCTGCCTTCGAAACAAAATAAAACAACAAAAGCCAACCTGCTTGACAGCAGCAACAGCAAAACAGTATATAAGGCTGGGTATGGGTGTAGCTTAGTCACACAGCACTTTACTGGGCCATGAGCTTGACCTTCAGTACTAGGGAAAGAACTTTTAAACAATGGATACGTTTTGTAATTTAAGAACTAACATTCACTAGGCGATGGTGGCGCATGCCTTTAATCCCAGCACTCAGGAGGCAGAGGTAGAGGTGAGTTTGAGGCCAGCCTGGTCTACAAGAGCAAGTTCCAGGACAGGCCACAAAGCTACAGAGAAACACTATCCCAAAATTCTTAGGCAGAAGCAGGTGTAATTCTGCTACATCATGAATTCATGGCCAGTCTTGGGTTTATGAAACTTTGCTGTTTGTTTGTTTCCGAGATCCAGATAACCTGATTGGTACAGTTCCTATCTGCATAGGATAGATTACTGTGCCACAAAACTATTTTTTCCTTAATCCCAGCACCTGGGAGAATGGATCGTGGCCAGTTTGAGGCCAGCCTTATTTGCAAGTGAGTTCTAGGGCTACCCAGAGCTACAGAATGAGACCCTGCCTCAAAAAACAAAGCTATTTTTGGAAGGTGTGGTAGTGGTGGTGCTGGTTTTTGCCTGCAGGTCTATCTGCTCCCAGGTATTTGAGAGGCAATTTAAGATTTACTTACTTGTAATGTATTTGTGTGCCTCCAAGTGTCCCAGCATCTAGCACAGGCATCTGATGCTCTCTTACACTGCCCTCTTACTTTGAGACAGTCTCTACCTGAACTTGGGGCCAGCAAGTTCCAGTGATCTTCCCTGTCTGAGAGCTCGGGCCACATGCTTATTACCCTAGGGCTGAGATCTGAACGCCAGCTCTTGTGATTGTCTAGCAAGCCCTCTTCAGTGCTGTGCCATTTCTCCAGCCCCAGGGTTGCAATTTCAAGACCAGTCTGGGCAACACAGCAGTATTCTGTTTTATTGACCTCTTGTCCCCTCAAACCAGAAATGGTGCACATTCCTGTAACCCTAGCACTTGGGGAGTAGAGGTAAGAGGGTCAGGAGTGCAGTCATCCTAGGCTATCTAGTGAGTTTAAGGCTACCCTAGTCTACTTGAAACCCTGTCAGAGAACAAACTTTTTTTTTTAGGCAGGGTTTCTCTTTGTAGTCCTGTCTGCCTTCTAACTAGCTCTGCTGCAGACTAGGCTAGCCTTGAACTCACAGAGCTCCATCTGCCTCTGTTTCCCAATTGCTGGGATTAAAGGTGTGTGCCGCCACCACCACCACCCATTGTCAAAGAACAACAACAAAAAATTGAAAGTGAAACTAGTCATCCTATGGTTTTGAGGAGCAAAGGAAGTGCCTGGTATATAACTTAAATGTGCATGGTCATCAATATATGACTTAACTGCTGTAAAAGATGTATACATAGGAAGATTTTTGGAAGAAAATTCTCAAAAAGTTAACATTTTCTCTAGCAGGGGGATTACCTATGGTTTTATTTTTTTCTTTTTTGGTTTTTGATTGTTCATGACAGGGTTTCTCTTTCTAGTAGCCCTGGTTGTCCTGGAACTCACTCTGTAGACAAGGCTGGCCTTGAACTCACAGAGATCCACGTGCCTCTGCCTCTTGAATGCATGCACCACTACCACCCAACTTTATTTTATTTTTCTAAGTTGAGTTTTTATTACTTCTCTATGACGTTCTAAAGAATAAGGAATTGTAAAAGTGTGGGCCTCTAATGGGAAGGAGATGGTGTGCCGTGATCCAACGTGGGGAAGGGGTAGTACTGAGGAGCCGCAAGTTCACCTTAGAGGCCCATCAATGAGAAAATGACAATTAGTCCAACCCCTCTTTCTTTTCCCTCCCGTGCAGCTCTTGGAGCAAGCCTTGGTGATCGAGGAGCAGCTTCGAAGAGCAGCTTACCTGAACATGTCAGAAGACCCCTCTCACCCATCTATGGCCCTTAACACTCGTTTTGCTGAGGTGGAGTGTTTGGCAGAAAGTCACCAGCACCTCTCCAAGGAGTCGATGGCAGGAAATAAGCCAGCCAATGCAGTCTTACACAAAGGTCGCCAGTGGCTCCCCTGCCTCCTGCTCCTTCAGCCTCCCTCTCCACTCTTCCGTCCCCAACATTCATAACTTCTTACTGAGGATCTTTTTTTTTTTTTTGCGGCAATCAAGGATAACAGTTTGCTCTTTGAACTCTTAGTATATTCGGGTTCTTGAGAATAATAGTGTCACCTGGGATATTTTAGAGGTGACTTCAGTTGATTTTTAGATCCCTTCAAATTCTAGACCCCTTTCAGTATTGTGTTTCTGATTACAGTAAAACATTATGAGGGGTGGAGGGTAAAATATGAACGGATGGGTGTCATAAAGGTGGTAGGAGACATCCAGAAAGTAGAAAAGCATGAGTCTAAAAGAGGAGATCATAGGTGTTAGCTGTTTGATCCCTGATGCTGAGAAGAAAAGCTGTAAGAAATAAAGCCCTGTGTTGGCATTCACCTGTCACCTAGCACAGAGAGGCACAGGCAAGAGGATGAGGAAATCATGGTCAGGCTTGGCCACAGTGAGTTTGAGGCAAACCTTTTAAAAAAAAAATGGAGAGGGGCTGGAGAGATGGCTCAGAGGTTAAGAGCATTGCCCGCTCTTCCAAAGGTCCTGAGTTCAATTCCCAGCAACCACATGGTGGCTCACAACCATCTGTAATGGGGTCTGGTTCCCTCTTCTGGCCGTCAGGCATACATACAGACAGAATATTGTATACATAATAAATAAATAAATTTAAAAAAAATGGAGAGAATAGAAAGGATGCACTAAACAGATCAGAATCAGCCAACTGTGGTGGCTTATGCTTAGGTGGCTTATGCTTAGGGCCCCAGGTACTTAGGAGACAAGGCAGGAATCTCACCTGAGCTCCAGTCCCAGGCCTGGCCTGGGCCACAAAAGCCAACTGGAACTAGAACATGAAGAGCAGGGATCTGGGCCAGGCCGGTTAAGTGAGTGTCGAGGGAATAGCATGTCCTGGTGTCTGCTGGGAGCAGCCAGTGTTAGAACTGTGCCCTTGACAACCACAGCTCACGACCTCCCCTCCCTTTTTTTTTCCCCTCTGCAGTCCTGAAACAGCTGGAAGAATTGTTGAGTGACATGAAAGCCGATGTGACTCGACTCCCAGCTACCATTGCCCGAATCCCCCCAGTTGCTGTGAGGTTACAGATGTCAGAGCGGAACATTCTCAGCCGTCTGGCAAACAGGGCACCAGAACCTCCCCCACAGCAGGTAGGACCAATTTCTTAGTTGCAGCTCTTTGCTTGTGTCCTTGGCTTTCCTACCTCGGCTCTGTGTTCTGACTCTTGGCTGTTTATCCTTCTAGGTAGCCCAACAGCAGTGAAGACCCAGCAATGATCCCACTTCCACCACTGAGCAGTGACCTTCCTCACTTTCTCTTGTCCCGGCTGCCCCCTGGGGGGCCGGAGAGATCCTCGCCTTCCTTCTGCCCATCTTCTGAGTTGTAAAGGAACAGCCCTGTGCACTAGGGGCAGGGAGGGAGTGAGGGGCAATGGTGCCTGCCCTTCCTGCTGGAGAGACAAGCAGCAATAGCGCGGCGCCATGTGCAAGGAGCTGCAGGCTGGCTGCCTTCTGGACCCTGGCTTCTCCCCACCGCGCACCTGTTACAAACTGTTGTGGGTTCTGCCAGGCTTGAAGAAAATGATCTGAATTTCTTCCTCTTTTTGGTTTTATTATTTTGTTGGTTTACTTTGTGTTTTCTCCTTTTGGGGGGTATTCAGAGTGGGCCGGGCCCCTGGGCGAGACACAGCTACCTCTGTTGGCATCTTTTTAATACCAGGAACCCAGCGGCTCCAGCCACTGAGCGGCTAAAATAAAGTTGGAAAAAAAAAAAGAAAAAAAGAAAAAAAAGGAAAAGAACCAAAAGCATAAAAAAAACCACAACAAATTTCTTGATGAGAATTGAAAATAAAAGTTTCCTTGTATTTTAGTGATCTGGTTCAGTGTGGGTGAGTGGGTGCCAGGTGCTGCTATTGTAGAGAACAAGAGGCTGCTGCACGGTCCCTTTGTAGCCTCTAACCTGGAGCAGATGCATTCCTGCAGAGTCCTCCATGCAATAGTTACCTGCCTGGTAGTTGTGAAATATGGCCAGCAGACCACCTAGGGAAGCATTCTATATGGGAATGTGTAACACATACATATGCACACACATTTTGTGTTTGTTTTTTGAGGCAGGGTTTGTAGCTTTTGTGTCTATCGTGGAACTCTCTGTAGCTTCGATCTCAGAGATCCGCCTGCCTCTCCCTCCCTAGTGCCGAGTGGATGTGAGCCACCACCTCCTGCCCTTTTTTTTCTTTTGGACAGGCTGGCATTTGGACAGAACTGCCTGTCTGCCTCTTGAGTGGGCACTAAGGAGGTGTGTTTGAGGCTGCCCTCAGATTCTGCTTCCAGAGAGCTGGGTTAACATTAATGGAGTCCACCACCACACCCAGCTTATTGTTCATAACTTTTCTTTTTGTATTACATACAATTGTGGGGAGGACTACTGTACACGTGGAGGTCAAAGAGCAATTTGCAGAAGTTCCCGATGTCCACAATATGAGTGTGTCCAGTAATGAACTCTGGTTGTCAGGCTTAGCCGCCTGGAAAGTTCTTTACTCTTATCTAGTACTGCTTTGGAGGAGGGCAAGTACGTATTTCTGGCTAAATGAAGAGGGGAAGATTAGCTTCCTTAAGGAAAGCGGTTCTAATCAAAACCTGGGAACAGGAGTGCGGAGACGTGGAACCTCGCGATCTTGAGATCTAAGACAATCCGCAGGATGCCAGGGCAAGGGTCGTGCTGCGGTTCTAGATAGAAGCTTGGCGGCCTCGGGCGTCCTAAACTGGAACCCTCGGAGGAAAGCCGACGTCGGCGGGAGGGCGGAGCGAATAGGAGCCGGCTGCCGCACGTTTCCCTCCCTGAACCGCTGGAGCCGGTGACGCGTGTGTTCCTAAACTTGGTCCGTTCCGGCGCCCCTGCCGGAAAAGGCGGGGCACTGCCGGAGGACCTTTGCGCGTGCGCAGTATACTTTGTCGGCTCGCTGTCTGGGACCTCTTCCCCGAGTGCACGTGGAGAGGGCCTTTGCTGGAGCCGCTTAGTCTCCGGGAGCCAGGTTAGCCAGGCGGAGGCTTCAGGTGCTTGTGCGGTATCCCGGAAAAGGGTTTCGACCTGGGCGCCCCGAGAGGGGCGCGGTGCCAGGGTTTGGTGGGAGTGCCTGGAGGGAGCCCATCAGGGGTCACGAGCATGGCTCTGGGCCGGGCGGGTCTCCTTCCCGGGTAATATCGCTGTGGCCTGCGTTCCCCTTTCAGTATCCACAACGCTGCCCTCCCCCGTTTTTCTTTGCTTTAGCACCATGGGGCGTAAGTTGGACCCTACGAAGAAGGAGAAGCGTGGACCTGGCCGAAAAGCCCGGAAACAGAAGGGTGCGGAGACCGAACTGGTTAGATTCCTGCCTGCAGGTGAGGGTCGTAGCTCCCTGACCCCGCCTGGCCCCTGGTCCATTTTGTATCATAACCTCGACCCGTTTGCGCGTCCGCCTTCACCTGCTGCGTAGATGTGAGTTGTTAGGACAGAAGTCATCCGTGTCGGAAGATAGGGTAGATGCCACTGGGGCACGGGTACCCGGGTGTGCGAGTAGAGGTGCCGTTCTCCGTTTCCAGAAAGGGGGCTCTCATGAAGAATTTAGAAAGGTTTTGCCGAGCCTGGTTTTAGCAAGCAGGAGTTGGAAACGGGACAGGCCAGTCATGAATTGTCTGGAAGAAGGGATGAAAAGCAGGGGTCCGAGTGCAGTGTAGTGAAACACTATTTGGGAGAAAAGACTGCGCAGGGAGCTGGGGTCCGGTTTTTAATGGAAGGTGCAGTTTATTGAAGCATTGGCCAGTCACAGCCCCATGAAAGAGATCCTCAACTCCATGGACGCATGGTATCGCTTGTTAGATCTTAGAGTTCTGGGAAAGAGGCTTCGTTAGGAAATGGATGCTGAGGAGTTGGGTGTCTTACACACAATGGAAAGCGCTACAATTTCTTGTAGAGTATAACATTAGCAAAACTCTGCTGTAGTTGATAACTGAATGAGCTGAGAATAAAGGAAAGGGCAGAGAAAAGGTTTTGAGGTTCTGCTGTCATCAGAATGTCCCTTTTGGTTTGATTTGGTTGCTGAACAATCAGGTAGATGACCGCTTCATCGCCTCTACGCCTTTTACCCCCCCCCCCCCCCCCTTTACTGGAGGCTATGGAATGGAACCCGGGGCTTTTCCCATTCTTGGCCCAAGCTGTCCCATCAGCCCCGCCTCCATATCTCCCCTTAACTCCCAGGAAAGTGTTACAGAGTGTTGCACACTGACTATACTTTGTAGCCCTGTGTCTTTCTTTCCTGTTGCTGGGTGAACCCCGGGGCCTGTACCTGCCAAGTGCACACTCTACCACTGAGCCACATCACTAATTCTCTGTAACACTTTAGTGTAGCAGCCCTCTTCCTAGCTACATTTGTGCTTCCTTTTTGTGTGTTTCCCTTAAACTCCTAATCTCCTTTTTAACAGCTGGTGATGAGAATTTCAAGAGGCTGTCTAGTCGTGCTCGGAAAAGGTGAGTGTTGGATGCCCAGGTTTAGCAGAAATTGGAGCTGCTTGGTACATGGATGAAGAGGGCCAGTTGTGCATTGCCATGTTTCCTTGTTAAGGTGGGAGGTAGCAGAACCTAGAGGCATGTTCCCATGTCTTCACTTTCTGTATCTACAGGGCAGCGAAGAGGCGGTCCAGGTCTGTTGAAGTCCCTAAGCCAAATAAGTCTCCTAGAATCGAAACATTGCCTGGAGCGCTATCAAAAGGTCAGTGAAAACAGGATCAGTTGCTGTGTGAAGAACCTTCTGGACCCTAGATAGGCTAGAATTCCTAGAATGGAAGGAATAACAAGTTTTTTTTTTTTTTTTTTTTTAATATAAAGTCTATTTTTGTTTGTTTGAGGCAGAATCTCCTTTTGTAGCCTTGACTGTCCTTGGGCTCATTCTGTAGACCAGGCTGGCCTCGAACTCAAAAAGATCCTCTGCCTCCCTAGTACTGGGATTAAAGGTTTGTCTTGCCATGCCTGGTTAAGATTGTTTTTTATCTTACTTTTTTTTTTTTTTTTTTAAAAACTGTCTCAATTTATCTTATGTGCATGAGTGTTTTGCCTGCGTGTATAAGTGTGTATCGCATGTATCCTGTTGCGCATGGCGGTCAGAAGAAGGTATCAGAGCCCCTAGAACCTAGAATTATAGTAGTTGTGGACCACCATGTGAGTGCTAGGAACCAAACCTGGGTCCTTTGCGAGAACAACAGCTGCACTTAACCGCAGAGCCTTCCCTCCAGCCCTATTTCTATTTCTATTATTTGTTAATTATGTGTGGGGGTGGGAGGGAGGGTGTGGGTGTGTGCACATGATGCTGATTCTACTGGAGATAGAGATGCAGGTCCTGGTGAATTGTCACGTGTGGGTTCTGGGAACTGAACTCCGGTCCGGGGCAAGGTTAGTTTGTGCTCTCCATCCCCCAAAGGTCATTCTCAGGGCTATAACGACAGGCTCCAGAGGTGTGGGACAGGGAATGTGGCAGCCATCTGCTCAGGATGTGTCAAACCCTTTACTGTTCTCAGGAGCAGTTCAGGCTCGAGGTAAGAAGCGCCCAGCACCAGCTCAAAACAGTGATGGGGATGAGGAGGAAGAATCTGAGGAGGAGGCAGTGGCAAACCAGGGGGACCTCTGGGGCTCTGAGGACAGTGATGCCGATATGGTGGATGACTATGGAGCAGACTCTGGCTCGGAGGATGAAGAGGGAAAGGTGAGAATCACTTCTGTGTGTTCTCAGATCTTTTTGTTTGTTTGAGATCGGGTCTTACTGTGTAGTACAGGCTGGCCCCTTAACTCAGAAATCCGCCTGCCTCTGCTTTCTGAATGATGGGATTAAAGAGAGGGATCTTGGCAGATGAAGATGTAAGAAGGTAGATACTTGGATATCCTGCTGAGTGTAAATACACGCATACAATTAAGTTTTTTAGACATTTATTTAGTGTGTATATGCACATACATACTGTGAATGTGGAGGTTGGAGAATAATTTGGGGGTCTGTTCTCTCCTTCCACCATTTGGGTCCCAGGGACTGAACTGAAGTTGCCAGGCTTGGCAGCAAGTGCTTTTGCCCGCTGACCCTAAGTACTTTTTAAATTTTATCTACTTGTGTGAGTGCAGCTGTATACACACGCCAAAGCACACATGTGGCGGTCAGAGAACAGCTTTCCAGGAGTTCTTCCACCAAGTTGTCTTTCTTTACTTATTCACTTTTTATTTACTTATTTAATTTGTGTGTGTTTATTTAATTTGGGGATGAGTGCTATCCTGCTGTCCTTGAAGGTTCTTTTGGTTTTTTTTGAGGCAGGGTTTCTCTGGGTAGCCTCAGCTGGCTCTGTAGACCACGCTGGCCTTGAACAGAGATCTGCTTGCCTCTGCCTCCTGTAAGTTGAGATTAAAGGTATGCGCCACTACCGCCCAGCTTGAATGCTCTTTTTTTTTTTAAGATTTATTTATTTATTTTATGTATGTATGTTCTTGTCTACATGTACATCTGCACACCAGAAAGAGAGCATTGGATCTCATGACAGTGATGAGATGGTTGTGAGCCACCATGTGGGTGCTGGGAATCGAACTCAGGACCTCTGGAAGAGCAGCCAATGCTCTTAACCATTGAGCCATCTCTCCAGCCCCATTGAATGCTCATTTTTAATGAAGCAGTTGTTTGGCAGGGCTCACCTGACATGTGAGGCTGTGATAGTTGAACCCAGCACGGAAAAGAAGTTTCCCATCCAGATGAGACAGGCCAGTTGCCCAGGGGTTCAAGAGCAGCCTGGATGGTATAGTAAGATCCTGTCAGAGAAAAAAAGATTTCTTTTTATCTAGTTTATTGGTAGGGAGGTGGTATATAA